ATAACACGAGAATAAACTGTGTTTCGTGTACTTGCAACTGTAAACCTACTTTTGCCACACCCTGTACATATGTAAATATGTGTATATGTATATACGTGTGTGTAGAGAAAGAAAGAGAATACAACAAATTTAGTAAAAGAGTAATATATTGAGATTTGGTTGAAGGTCACCCTGGCATTCTTTGTTCTACATTTTTCTCTCACTCTAGTTGTAATTTTTGCAACTTTAAGTCTGAAATAATATTAAAATAAATTGAGGCAAACTGAACCCTAAGGTGGAAAATGACTTCACTATGAACTAGGGGCAGATCTTACAGGACATGACACACAGCTGGACTCACATCTAGATCTCCAAAGGCTGGGAAGGCATCTGGGAGCGGGGGCAGGGTGAGCAAACCATGGATGTAGCAGGGCAGGGAGTGACTGAGTTCTGGTCTCTGAACGCTCTCCTTGGCATTGAACATTGAGCAAAGTGGGCAGAAAAACCGCTGGCACAGAGTACAGGGGTGCAATGGGGAACCGATAGGGAATTTGATAGGGATTTAAGTGAATAAGAATGAAAGGGTTCTGAGCAAGATTAAAGGTCTGGTTAGTTGGGATAAATTTGCAATGGAATTGGCTCAATGCTCAGCAGGCCAGGAAAAACAGAGTAAGTAAAAGGTAGGGGACTGACAAATTACAGGCAGCAAGAAGGAGAAGGGGGCCAACAGAATGGTATTGAACTGATTCCCCTTGGGGTCTGGCTGGATAGGGAGCAGGTGAGGCAGAAAGGAGGCTGGGACTGTTTGGGGGAGGGGAAGGCCTGGGAAGGGCAAAAGACAGGTTTGGAAATCTTAGACTAATCACAATATTCTTGTGCCCTTATCTACTATTTCAAGGGGCTGAATTAGGTGATCCCTGCCAGCTCTTACTGGTTTTGTTTTTTTCTTAATTTCCTTTTTTCTTGGCCTCCTTTTCAGACTGGTTGGAACTACTTAGCATGTAGCCTCATGAAAAGAGTGCGGTGGGAGGTCAGGATAAAAATGTGGCCATGGCTACAAAGCACAGGCTATAAGGTCTTGCATTTGACCGAAGTTTGGGAAAGGACAGAGGACTGAAGGTTAGGGTACGGGAGGTTACAGGTTCAGCAGGAGTGAGCAGCTGTGGAGAAAAGGATTTGAGATGACAATCAGGAGGCCAATTTGGAGGTTTGAAATCTTGGAGATGGAGCACTTTCCGAGTGTGGCCATACGTGTGGTGAAGAGAGGAGGTCAGTATGGTCGGAAGGCTTGTGGAATGGTGCGTTTGCGGTCGGGGGAATAGGAGACTGTGGTCACTGAGAATGCAAACAGCAGGTATTTCTCGAGGGCCTGCTCCACGCCAGGCATGACCAGCCCTGAAAGGCTGGGGCGGGGGGGTCAGACTTTGAGAAGCAGGTAAGAGGAAAGTGATCCTGGCCGTCCTGGAAAGGTTAATGAGGGAGGAGAAGAACCATGGCCTCGAAGTCCTATGTGAGGAGACACTTGGGAAGTGTGGGGAAGATAGAGAAGTTCATGGCGGACAGCAGTGGAGTACAACAAACCTTCTTGTATCAAACCAAGATTTTATTTCTTATGTTCATTTCAATAAAGAAAATTCGGTGTTTAAGAAACATTTGCCTCTGTTACTGTGTGATATTGAAACGCTATTAAAAGGTTAATATGAGGTCACTAAAAATTTAAAAATAGGGTCTGTGACTATAGCTCTGACAAATCTAGATTTGGGAAAGTTAAGTTCTCAATACATGAGTGTGGTAAGTACATAAAAGAATGCTTCCTCTTTATGAAAGAGTTACTGTGGTCCTTTAAATTTGAATTTGCTAGTGCCCTTATTAGCCACTTGAGAAAATAAAAAGGAAGTTGAAGCTGTATTCCTTTTGAGAGGAGTCTGTTGAATCAAGGACACACACCTGTAGATGCGTCATCTTCTGGAAACAGCACGATATGCTCAGAAAGCACAGTCTGTTTTCACTCATTTTGTAACATGAAATTTTCGTTCATTGATTAAGTTAGAAAAAAAATGTCTGATGCTATGGACCATTAAAATGTAAGGCTAACTACCACTAACAGCAGAGGTTTAAGTGAATCAAATAGCCCTTTTCAGTAACAGGTATATAACTTCCTGGCTCTTGTTTCTTTGTTATCATAAATATATAGAATAAGTGGCTCTTCAGCCAATAACCTAAGGAGAGGACTTGACTTTCATCTTTCTTGCCACTGCCTTATAATTAGTTCTTGTTTTGTTCTTTTTTCGCTCCCTGTAAATTTATGGCATTGTATTATTTTGATAATGAAGAGAATGTATAAATGTATTTTGAAAAATTAACTGTAAATACATAACATCTGGAGTGTCCTTACTGAAGGAAGTGCTTTCGGATTTTGTGTATCCAAGTATTAGGGAGGTGCTGGAGTAGCAGGCACCTTCTTATACTGCTGATTGGAGTCTAAATTGTTACAATCATTTTAAGAGCAATTTAGTTGTAGTTTCTGGCAATAATAGTGAAATATGTTTATTGAACTAATCCTCTCATTCCTAGGTATACTACTTTCGAGAAAGTTTTGCATGTGTTTATAAGAAGATGCAGAAATATTCCTGGCCTCTTGGGATCTTGGAAATGAGACACTGGAAAGGAATGAAGTGTCTATTAATAGGACAATGGATATATAAGTTACAAGTACACTCATATAACAGAATACAGCAGTAAAAATGAATGAAATGCAGCTGGAGCTATTAATGAGGATGAATCTCATAAAGAGATATTGAGCAACAAAATTGCAGAAAGATATGTACAGTGAAAATAAAATTTATGTAAAACTATACATTGTTATGGCTCTCTATGTAGATGTAATATGAGTACATACATGTCATGGGAACAATAAACATGAAAAGCTGGATAGTTTGACTCCTGGGGAGGGGAGGTGAGTGTGGTATTAGGGAGGGACACACTGGAGACTTCAATTATGAAATTATACACATTTTATAAGCTAGGTGTCGGGTACACGACTATATTTTATTCACTACTTTTTTTTTGTAGACTGGAAATATTTTATAACCATTTTTAAAAGGAGCAAAGTAATTCTAGCTCATAAACTGAAGAATGGACTATACAGGGGTATGGAGGGAAGTAAGGAGGCACCCTAAGAAACGATTTCAGCACGCCCGCAGAGTGGGACTGAGGATCAAGCACAGTTTCTGGCACAGCAGGAGCTTAACAAATTGTAGCTATTGTAGTGGTGGCTGCTGTCATCATCATTGTCATCATCATAGACATAGGGGGACTGTGAAGAAAGAGACACAAAACGTTTCCAGCAGCTAGAATGTACTACATGCTTTAAATTTGTCTTTTAGTCTTGACTAGAATCTAGGTATAAAGAATCTAAGGCTCACAGAGGCCAAAGCCAAAAGGCACAAGGATACATAAATTTCTAATGACTCATTTTTCAGTGTTGTTTCAAATATACACTCTCTCCCGCCAGTAATACACACCCTTTCCCTGTCTAGCACTTGAAGAAAAATTCCAGCATCTTTTGTCTTTGGTTCATAAGTAGCATATTTTGAGTTAAATTTAATAACTCGATAGACCAAACCCATGGGTAGTGCTTTATTGCTTATTACAGAATACTTCTGTTATCACACTTTTGGATCTCTCTCCGTTTTTCATTTGATCCTCCAAACTACTCTGAGGAAAGCAGGGCAGTTGATCATTCCTGTTTTACAGATGAGAAAACTAAAATCCAAAGAGGCTAAATTGGAGGTTCTTAACCCATGTGACCATATACTTAATGAAATCCTATGTTAAATAGTTTATGACTGAAAGGGCATTTTTCTAGGTGGAGGGTCAACTTTAAATGTATTTTCAAAGGCATTCAGGACTCTCCCAAACAGTTTAAATGATTTGTCTAAAGGCACAGGGCCCCGGTGCAGCAAAGACCCCAAGTAAGTTCCCCCTACCCCACACTCAGAATTCTTTAATTCTTTCCAGTACAACCTACGGAAACAAAATCCTAGTCAGATATATTTTTGGTGAGATATTTTTTGGAATGTTTACTGATTGCTAAGGGTGCCAGAGTTATTAAGTGTATCGAAATATCTCACCTCGGAATTAGGTTTGTTCAGCTGTTGGGCGGTCACTCTTCTACAGGGTGTTACTTTTCAAATGAACAAATCAAGAGCTGTCCTGTTACAAACACGCCCTAACACAGACTTGCTAAGAAAGGAATCTCATACAGTAGCTACGTAATGTATTCTACAATTCTGGGTAATCTATACGGAATAATTATGAGGCATAGCTTGAGCTAGAGGTGGGAAACGGACCATGAGCTGAGAAGAGAATTTTCATTCCTCCTGAACCCCCTACTAACGTCTCAGGGTTTCCCAGATGTAAAAGAATGAATTCAAGATCACTTTTCAGAATCCTTCCAATTCTACCATTGTTGCAATTGAATAGGATTTAAAATAGGAAGCGCAACAGGAGTTTTGGGTATAAACTGTACAAAGTCTGTTAATGTTAGCCTTACTTTCCCAGTAAGAGAGGCCTCGAAAGCCCAAGGTGGGTTACCACCGGCCATTAGTCCAAAGTGCCCGGGCCCCACTAGCCTTGCTCTTTTAAGGTCAGGCCTGCAGTCCCCCTCTGAGTGACGAAAGGGTGGGTAGAGAGAATGCCACGAGGGGCCAAAGGTCCAAAGGAGTTTCAAACCCAGGGCCTCTCAATCCTGCACTTAGGAATGGAGGAATGCGGAACGCCCAGGCCAAGCCCGGGCGAAGGGATCGGTTTAAACCTGGTGGGATGTGCGAGCCTTCTGAGGGTGGGGCATAGGGCCCCGGGGCAGTGTGTGTGCTAGGGCAACCTCCCTCCAGATCCCGGAGCCACCCTGGGAACCAGCACGCAGGCGGGGCCACGTGACCCGCCGGCGGGGCGGGGAGACGCGCGCCCGGTCCCGCCCCGCACGCCTGCGCGCGGCTACCGGCGCTGAAATTCAAATTTGAACGGCAGCCTGAGTCCGAATCTGACACTGGAAGCTGCGGGGGAAAGGCGAGCAGGTTGGGGAGAGTTTCCCTGCCCCGGATTCCTCGTCTTCTCTAAGTGACATACTGAATTGGAACTCACTTTTCTTTTTTCTGAATTTGAACCGCCGTCTCTCTGTCGTCTCACAGTGGACACTCGAAGCCCGCGGCGATGGACCCGTTTACGGAGGTAAGAGACTTTGCTAGCGCAGCGGGACTTGACCCTTCTGGTCCCCCCACCCTCCTTTCGCACCTGAGGTCAATCTCTGGGACCAGGGGGCGGAGAGCGCGTGCGCAGAGCGTGCGTGCCGGGGGTCCTCCGGGCCGCCGGAAGCCGTCCGGGGTTTTATGGCGATCAATGTCTGGAAGCAGAGTTTAGAGTCTGCTCCAAAAAGTGGTAGGGGAAAGCTTCAGGTTAGCCCTGGTTATTATTGGATTGCCCCTCTGGAGTGGAACCCTGTCTCCCCAGAGTGAGGGTGGGGTCGGACGGAACAGGTCCCAATGGAAGTAAAAGCGGGGACAACTTGTAGGGTGGGGTTGGGTGACCGAGTGACTCACCGTTGTGTGTGCAACCGCCGCCTGGAAATGGAAATGGAATGGAATATATTTGCGGGATTTGTGCGACCGGCAGAGGGTCTGAGTGTGTATTTAAGAGTGCTGCCTTTGAAGTGACAGACACAATAAATTGGTGCCTGAGACCATCGCATCTGTTCCTATGAAGCCAGTAGTTGCTTTAAATTCCATGCGCATGGGTGAAGATTCATGCCCAATTGACATGTAAGTTGAAAGGAAAGTGCTAGCCAAAAGTGTACAAATCAAAGTTAGTAGACCACGATTTAAAAAAAAGGTAAAGAAACCTTTTTATGTGTGTTTATGGGTAACATCACAGCAGTGTTTAACTCATCTTTTGAAACTTGGATTAATTTCATTCTTACTGTGCGATTATTTCTCTAGTTTTGACTTCTTGTTGAGGACATATGGTTCTTCCTCTTTCTTTAGGTTGTTGTGCAAGTTTCAAACTGTTATTTTTTGAGTTATTGCTTAGTGGACCTAAAATAATGTCTCTATACTAGATTGAAATGCTTAAATGGTATGGAGAGTAGTAATTCTTTTTTTTTTTTGAACTGTAACTACAATTCTGTAAGTCTAAGATATTTAGAAGTTTTAACAATTAGAATTTACTTGTTTTCAAACACTATTTATTTTTGTTTCAAATTCTCAGTCATCTTGAGAAAAAACACATTTATTTGCTTGCCTTTTAAAAATTCTGACAAAAATCCAAAACATATTTTTGTATTAACTTCAAAGAGTTGGGTTGGTCGTGCACCCTATTTTCTGACTTACATTGAAGTTAAAAAGGATATATCTTTTTTTATGTTAGTTAGAATAGGATTTATTCTATTAACCTCTGTGCTCTGAATGTTTGTTTTTATTCTAAGTGACTAAGAGGAACAAAGCATTTTAAAAGTTGGCTGAAAATTGTACTTCATTTTACATAAAAATGTCATCCTGAAGCAGTACAAATCTCAGTTAAAAGAAGCTTTATTTGGAAAAAACTTCCATTTTATAGAGAGCTCAGAAAGATGTGTTGTTTAATAGGCAAGTTGGTGTTATGAAAAGTTAGGTCTCTTGAGTTGAAATGAACAGCTTTGGCATCTTTTCCTTAATTGGTAATGACTGAACTATTTGAATTGGTTCCAACCAGTAGGTGCTTAATTATAGCATTCATAACATTTTTTCACAGAGTAGAATGAACTGGCACATTTCCTTGTCTAAAAAGCACTGGAAGTCGGTTAAAATGACTTTCTCAAGCAGCGTTTCTTATCAGAATCATAGCACACAGGAACTTATCCAAGAGAGAATTTTCTCAATGTTTTCATGCCATCCTCCAAGCCTAGGAGAGATTTGAATTCATGACGTTGACATCAAGGAACCAGGGCCTAATTCTCTTGGCAACTGTGGTTGAAAAAGGCCTCAGCCCTCCTAAACTCTCTTTTCCTTGGCCTTCCCTGTTGTCCCTGATGCTTTCTGGCACGCTCTTCGCCCTGCCTCTTGTGCCTGGCAAACTCACAGTTTAGCCTCCTACTCACAGTTGGACTCCCCTTCTTCAGAGGAAAGATCCCCTTTCATACTGCTTATTAGCTCACTTGCATTCTCCTCTTGACCTTGTTTCCGGCTAGAATGTGAGCTTCATGAAGGTAGTAGACCTGTTCTTCCCTATTCCGGGAGATGTTTTCCTAACCTTAAGCATGTGCTGTAACATTCTGCTGAACTAATTAATATAGGAGAGAGCCATTTGGTACAAATTATTTTACAGTCAGATAATTACATATACGCAGTAGCTGCTGGAACATGTTAGCAATGTTTTTTATTGTAGGAAATTTCAAATTATACAAAAGTATAACTGCTCAGCCATTCATCACCCAGCAGCATACCATGTCCCCTCTCTAGTCCCTCTCACTGAATTATCTGAAAGCAAATCCTAGAGATCATATAATTTCCTACATAAAAACACCAGTGTTTTTCACAAAATGCTAAGGACTTTAATAAAAAAAATCAACTTGTCATTATTACCTCTATATGATTAACAACAGTTCTTTCATAGCAAGTCTCCCGCCAATGCCCAGATTTCCCTACCTGTCCCATGCTTTTGTAGCCTGTTTGAATCAGGACCTAGACAGGGTCTACAGGGCCATGTCTTTCTAAAGTTTTTCCTGGACCAACCAGAAGTCATGACTTCACCTTGATTCATGGACAACCCAGCAGGTTAAGCAAATTTTTATTATTAAGATTTGATATGAACTGTTAGCATTAAAAAGTCATGTTGATGGTATGGAATTAGTTCTCTGACAATGAGTTCTTAAAAAGAGCAATTGGATTTCGTCAAAGGACAGTAGCAAAGTGTGTAAGAGCCAGGCTCTGGAGCCTGTATTTGGATTCTGCCTGCCTGTTCTTGGCTCTGTGGCCTATGGCTTGTTACTGAACCTGTGCCTGGAGTTTTTCTTCTGTAAAGCAATAGTGAAAAACAGAACCTGCCACATAAGTTTTCTTTTTTTAAGGTCTTGCAAATGACATGAGTTAGTGTGTGCAAACACTGAGAGTCCTTTAGATCATATCCAACGTAGGCGTTAGTGATTGCTTCGCACTGTTAGGTGAATTTACAACCGTAAACTTACTACTCGAGGTAACAATGTCAGCCTCTTAGTGTGAACATCCGCTTACAGGTGAGAGTCTTCCCAGCCCAGGACTAGCAGGAGGGAAGTACAGGGCTAGGCATTCCCCATCAGAACTTTCCATATGCAGGAACTCAGAAAGAGAAAAGACTGCTGTGAACATGCTGTGGGAAAGCATCACTTCTTGAGATAAAAATAAACATGCTGTTAATGTTTTGAATGGAGTTTTCCTTATTTTCCAGAATTCAGTGGAAACCTCTGTAGTGACCTAGCAGATCGTGCCGCTGGCACACATTAAAAATGAGAAGTTAATTTCTGTTGTTGCATCTGCTCTGTTTAAGAAGGCAGGGGGAGCAGAGATACTTCTAGAAAAATTTGTCAGAAATGATTCAGCGTGGGCGTGGCAGAAATTGCATAGGGACTGTAAACTTCAGTTATCCTAGATTCCTCCCTGTGGAGTATCTTAATTCCTGGTGCTGGTAATTGTTGCAGTGTTTGTGTTTTATCCCTCTGCTATTTGAAAAAGGAATGTACCTCATAACCAAAAGAACCCTTAAATTCCTGATACACCGTTATAAGGAAGGGCGACAAATTTATTGAGCTGTTGAATTATACATATATCATTTCTTTTAAATTAACCTTTGGTACTTGTTTTCATTTTACAGGTTAGGGTACTTTTTCTTGATTATCTGCTTTAATTATTTTTAATCTTGAAATTGTAGATCCCAAATAGACACTAGAACCCTTGTGTAAGTTTGAAAGGCAAAGAAAGCCACATTCTTTTGCTGGGACCGGAGGCTCACAGTAACTGAAACTGCGCTGACTCACCAGGACTCCACGGACCAGGATGGAATGTGGGCGTGTCCTTGGATGTAGCTTTGTCTTATCTGGGGAGTGACACATTTTATTGGGGGGGGCAAGTCACCAGACTTACGTTTGTGTAACTGTCACTTTTGAGGTGGTGGAGTTCTATTTGGAGAGGGAAGGCTTTGTGTTTTGGAAGGCACTCGGTTCATAGATCACCCTTCAGTGACAGCATGGAGATTTAGTGTCCCTGTGAATGAACTTGACTTTGGGGAGACGCCTCCCTCCCAACTGAACTCATGCTTTTGTTATATACTCAAGAGGGATTTTAAAAAACTGATACTCTGTTTTAATTAAGGCAGCGAAAAGGTCAGATGGAATTTCATTTCTGAGCCGGCTCAGTGCTGTATCTGTGCTTGCAGGGCCGTGTATGATCTCCAGCCAGTGATCTGTGCCCCCGACCCCTGCAGATGGGGGCTTGTGGGGGGAACGATCCCTTTACAGGTGTTGTGTTTGTTTTACCAGCCACTTCAAACAGGAGCTTCAGTGGGCAGGGCAAGCAAAGAGTAATTGTGATTATGTGGACTGGCTAAGATTTCAATGTAAAACTTTCATATTGTTAATATCTAATTAAAGAAAACATGAAGATTGTTTAGGTTTTTTTTTTCTCTTAGGAAGTGCCTTATGTTTTCAAAGGCCTGATTCGTCAGCTATCTCTTGCTCTTTACCACCACTCCAAGTTTTAGGGGCTGCATTAGTTTTGCTGTTGTAATAAATCTCCTTGAACTTGGTGGCTCAAGATCACACATACCTCTTCTGTAGGTCAGAAGTCTGATGGACTTGATTGGGTTAAAATCAGGATGTTGGCAGGATCATTCTCCTTCCGGAGGCTCTCCTAGGGGAGAATTTACTTCCTTGCCTTTTCCAGCTTCCAGAGGCCATCTGCACTTTTGGGGTCATGTCCCCTTCATCTGTGTTCACAGCCACCAATTACATCACGTTTCTCTGACTCTGACTTTCCTGCCTCTCCCTTTTCCCTTACAAGGGCTGTTAATCCCTTAATCACACCCTTAATCACGACTCTTAATCACACCAGCAAACTTCCTTTTGCCATGTAGCATAGTAGGTTCAGGGCATTAGGATGTGAACATCTTTGGGTAACCATTATCCTGCCCACTTCCCTGAGTGCTTAAAACACTGAGCACACTGGTTCAGTGTTAGGCTCATGTGGGCTGTGCTCCTGTCGGTCTCCCCAGGGGTCACGCAGGAGTCTGCAGTGACCTGGCAGGTCATCTGGGACGGGATGGGCTAACGTGGCCTTACTCCTGTTTCTGGTAGTTGATGTCACCTGAGCTGAGTGTCTCTAACAAGCTAACCCGCGCTTGTTCATGGGTGGCAGTGCTGCTAGGGAGAAAGAATAGAAACTGCAAGGCCTCCTGAGGTGAGGGATTGGAAGTCACACTGCTTCCTCTCTGCCACATTTATTGGTCAAAGTGTATCATAAGGCCAGCCCAGTTCAGGGGTGTGGAAGCAGATTCTACCTGTTCATGGAAACAGAAAAAAAAACTGTGGCTATTTAAAATCTTACACAGCCAGCTATACCCCCTTTCATGTTCATATTATACCTGTAGTAATTTTGACATTGGGATGCTGCTTAATCAGCAGATCTTGACTTAAATTACGTAGGACTTCACTTTTGAAATGTATTTAACTGTTACCCTACGTGGCAACTGGTGATTTTAGAAGATCCCTGAAGTTCTGTGAGCCTTTGACTAACCTGTGTTTTAAAAATCATATGTGTAGAAACTGCTCGAACGAACTCGTGCCAGGCGAGAAAATCTTCAGAAAAAGCTGGCGGAGAGGCCCACAGCAGTGCCCAGGTCTGGGGCTCCTGCCAAATGGGCCAGACAGCCGCTCACAGAAGCAAGTAACCAGCCGTCCGGGGCGGAAGGTAAGACTGTATGGAAGAGCAGAATCCTCTGTTTTTGAAGGAGGGGAGCCCTGGTCCCTTTGTTGTGTGTGTGGGGGCCTCCAAGTCCGTGGGAGACACGTGCCACAGGCCCTGGTGGGAAGGGTTGGCCTTCTCTCCTAGTCTGGGATGGTTTTTTATATTGGGCCTAGACCCTACTGAGCTAAGGCAGGGTTTTTCTGTTTTCTGCTTTTTATTTTTTAATTATTATTTTTAAACAAATAGTTAAAAATTATTGGTTGAACTTTATTTTTCTGAATCCAAAATTGTTCTTATTAAACCCCCCAAGGGAGGAAAGTGAAGGTGCAGAGGAGCCCTTCTGCTGGCCTTCTGGCGGAGTCGTCTGCCCCGACCACACCAGCCCAGCCGACCGGACCACCAGGGTCAGACGGTTTCTCTGGGTGTCTCTGGTGTGAGCCAGGCAACGGGAGGCAGACTCAGGTGCAGATGTTTGCATTTTCATTGTCTGCCTGCTGAACCAATGCTCTGCTAGGCACAGAGTATGGGTTGTTACAGTGCAGGGCCGGTGAGATTAAACACACACATCCTTGGAAACCCGGCTGTTCCTCCCAAAGCCTGGTGTGCCCAGCCGGCTGCCTCGGTCTTTTCCCAGAGTGTAGGCTGGTCTGGAGAGGGTCCTCAGTATGACTTTACAATGCAGGGAGCAAAGAGTATTGCAGGGCTAGAGGCCTGGGGCTGGCTCACTGTCGCTTTGGGAGCTGACCGTAGAATGATGATTTATTTCTGTGTATTTATTTTGAAGGAAGGGAAGGGAATATGTTACATATACATGGTGCTTGGCCAGGAAATAGAGGCCGGGTCCCAGTCCAGGGTCTTCTGTCTTCCCTGTGACATGGGTCCCTCCAATTAGGTGGTGAGTTCCGATGGTGGGAGCTGCATTTTGATGCTTAAATGGAAGCATTTACTGTTTTACACAAGAACTGAAATTTAAAGAATTCTGTACTTCCAGGTGGTATTGCATGCTAACATAGAAACACTTCCACAAAATGATTAGAATAGTTAATGGAAAGTAAATGAATTACAGAAGGTTGGAAAATTTCATGATGTGTATTCAGTGAGATGAATGTGGAGAAGGGAAATCCTGTCCTCTCGCTGGACCACGTCGGTCACTGCCAGAATGAGGACCCTTGGTTAGACCAGCGATGAAATGGCCACCTATGAAATTTACAGTCTTACTTTTTAAAAATATTAGTTGTTCAGGGGACATATCAAACTCATTCTTGGGTTGAAATAATATGCCTTATGTTTAGATAGCTCCTTTTTATTGTAAGAGTTTAACATTTATTTTGTAGGTGTTCATGGGAGTTTAAAAATGTGAAATGTTAAGCACTTGTGTTGATGAAATTGTTTGGTATTGACTAGATGACTCAGTCCCTCTTTTGGTTCCCTCTTTCCTAGATCTCAAGCCAGGTGCCCTCCACCCTTGTTTATTATTGCCCGTGAAAGATGGTTTTAGAAACAGGAAGTCTGGCCTCTCCCCTGAGCTCAAAGCGGTGTCACTTCAGGCAGGTCCCTGACTCGTGCACCAGCCCACAGTGCCTGTGGCGTCATGGATGAGACATGAGACAAATTCACATGGACTCCTGAGTCCTGTGGAGGAAAAGGGGCGGCATGGCTACTCCCTCAAGGGAGGAGCGCCCCTCGCCCTTGCCTAGACAGGCTTTTATTGGGTTCAATTTGCACTCCTAGGAATACTGGTACAGCTCATTAATCATTGTCAGGCAGTAAGGATCAAATAGTAGATAGTATACAAAGAACTATTAGGGCTTCTTCTGAGTCAGGGTCTATCACCTAAAAGGCTCCAAAACTTTGGGAAACAAACACGTTTCCTGCTCAGACCTTTATCATTTAACTAAGAGCATTCTTAGCAAAGCAGGCTTTACAGGATTTTTTCCTTTCTCAGGCCTGATCACCCAGGGAACCCACCCTTTCCAGCACTGGGCTGCACCGCCCTCTGTCAAAGCCTAGGGGCAAGGGTCTATCACCCCCTTTCTCCATAGCCCACCAAGTCCTTCGCTGGGGCCTCCAAGTGATCATGCCTGTCTTAGGTCGTTCACCCCTTGGGGAATCTTATTCATCATTGGCTAACCGACCAAGCATTGGGGGCCAGTTATGAAAAAAGGAGCAGAAGTGGCGCTCCTGCCAGGGAGATAAGCTTTGTCTCCTTAGTGGCTTATGGTCCGAAGGGTGCTCACTCAGCCTTCGCCATGGGGGGTTTCAGCTCCTGAAACAAGGCTGGGCGGTTTCCAACATTCCAGACCTCACTTTTCTTATCTGAAAAGCAGGTGGTGGGGCTGGATGACCTTTAACACCCCTGGGCCATTTCTCTGCCTGGCACTTGTACTTCCCTGTTGTCCTAAACCGTGTGACATATTATGTATATATCCTGAGTGTGTTCCTTGAATTTCTTTTCATTCAGATTTTTTAAACCGTAAGTTATGGTTTCTTAAAAAGAAATCTCTCATATTAGATTTCTAAGTTACTGAAAGAAAGTAGAATTATACATATTTCTTACAAGTAAAATGTTTTAAAGGATTAGAGGAACACGAGGTTTTATTAATTTGTTAAGTACTTGTGGCCAGTTGTTTGTGCTGTGAGATAGTATGGGATTTTGAATTTTCCCCCCCTTTTTAATCTAGAGAAATCTTGCACAAAACCATCGCCATCAAAAAAGCGCTGTTCTGACAACACTGAAGTAGAAGTTTCTAACTTGGAAAATGAACAACCGGTTGAGTCAGCTTCTGCCAAACCTTGTTCTCCAAGTCCTGTGTCCCCTCAGGCACGGCCACAGGTGCCAGCTCCGACCAGTGGATCCCCACCCGCCACCCAGGCATCTCTCCTGGGCCCTCAGAGAGGGCTGGATGCGGGACCAGAAGTGATGGCAGGCTCCTCCGTTAAAACCCGGATGCAGAGACTGGCAGCCCAGCGGCGCCACTGGGACGAGGAGGAGGATGGCACAGCGACAAACGGTATGGATGGCGCGGCCTCTAATCTGGGTTGGTAAGGGTCCCCGGGTGTGCTGGGACTGTGTTTGTCGGTTAACACAAGAAGGTAAATGCTGTTGCTTTATCTGTATCCTGGAATCCGTCTATTATTGTAAGGGGCTTGTATGCTGGTTGTGTGTTTGTCAGGCGGTGGTCCTCATGGAAGTAGACGATGAGGCTCCTGTACTGCTGGTCCTATTAGCATCTCTAACCTTCAGCTCCATATGCAAGACATTCCATTGTGAGGATTGATTAATTAAGTAAACTGGAGTGACTATGGAATGCAACCCTGTTGAATAGGGGAGAGAGATAGCTTTAAAAAATAATTGCCAAGCACCTGCAAAGCAGGTTACTACTCTGCCGAGGAGCCGGAAACAGGTGGCGCGGCCCGATCTTCACCTTCCTGGGCCGTGGTCTGGCGGAGAGCCTGGGAGCAGATCGGCAGCCACGCAGCAGGGCTGATTGTACTGCGATCAGTTTTTATCTACCTTCTATCTTGTTACAAAAATGCCTCTGTCACAAAATGAGCAAATAAGGAAATCCGTGTGAAGGAAATAAACGTGAATAGAAGGAAAAGAAAGCGAAGGGTAAGGTTAGTTTATTCATGCCAGGCCTTAAGTTCCTCCTCCTTACTAGAGAGGGTTCTGAACTTGCTAGTAGTCCACGGAAAGAGGCAAACTATTGGCTGCATGACCAGTGTTTATAAGATAAAAGCAGAATTCATCGTTGACCCTGAGACCCTAGAAAACTCTCCTCCCTGTGTCCTCAGAGGTGGTCTTGTGCGGGCTAGTAAATGTAAGAGGTTCCTCATGAGGCACGTGACCCGGCTCCGAGCTCGGGTCAGTGAACGCAGTTCCGAAGGGAACTGGCAGAGTGCAGGTGGGCAGCTCGGGGGCCGCAGGGACTGCCCTGAGGAAGGGATGCTCAATGTGGCTTTCACGGTTCAGCTCCTATGTGTCCATCGTCAGCCCAGCGGAGCCCTGGAGAGGGCTTCGTTTCTTTTTTCTTTTTTTTTTTGAAAGCTGTGGCTAATTCTGATGCATAACCAGAGTCGAGGCCAAGTGATCTGAAGAAAGGATGGACTGTGTGTACTTTGGGCGGTCTTCTGTAAATATCAGTTCTTTTCATAAGAATTTTGAGACATTGGACCGCAAAGCATTTGAGATTATCCTTTCTGGCAGTGCTGATAATCCCAAGAGCAAACACTATGTGAAGTGCTGGGCATTTAAAATTTTGTTCTAATGCCAAACAGGACTGCAGTAGGTACAGGCCAGTTGAATGTTTGAGGACTTACACCAAAATACACTTCATCTGAAGGGCTGCGTTTGGACAGACTGGAAGGGCTAGGGCCCACTCCTAAAACGGCCTAAGAAAACCGGCGTCTTCTGAGGGCAGTGCTTGCTCTGAGGAGATGGTAGTGGTATGCACATGGGGATTGAGGGGGTGTGGGCTTGGGAGATTTTCTACAGGAGTCAGGGATGATCAGGCTGGCCTTTGAGGCACTGCTGGCTTCAGACGGTGGAGATTTTCTGGGGCAGAAGTAACAGAACGTGTAAAAAGCACAGATACCGTGAACATAGAGGGCCGTGTATGAAGTCAGTGTTCTGGTGTACAGCGCACCTGGGAGAGAAAGAAGAGATGCATTTGAAACAAGCAGCAGGGTCCAGAGCCTTTGGGATCTAGCCAGGAGGTGATGGGGAGGTGCAGGGAGATGGCAGATGTTTAAGGTGGCAGATGCTTTAGAAAGCTTGCCTGGCTGCAGAATGGAGGAGGGATTGACTCGTGCAGAGATTGGGCATGGAAAGACCAGCTAGGAGGCTAGTGTCACAGTCCAGATATGTGGTGATGAAGGCCAGTGGAGGTGAAGGGAAGAGGTTGGTTTGGGAGATGAGAAGGAACTTGTGGGACTTGATGACAGGGTGGTGGAGGGGAAGGGGAAGGAGGGAGAGGCCATGATGCAGAAAGACATGTGTTTGCGCTGTGGATGTCAGGTGTGTTATTGGGGGTACCTGGGGTTTAGCCAAAAGGTGGTCATTGGTAGTTACAAGGAAATCAGGAAAGAGGCCACAGACACAGCTAGTGGGGGTGACATCACACAGGGAAGTGCAAGGCCTGCAGAGTATGTCCTGGCATCTGGTGACAAAAGCAAATGCAACTTCCAGGCAGGCGGGGTGATCCGAGCAGTGAGTGAATGTTGTGCAGGCAAAGGGTGGGCAGTCACTGAGAGGGGTGCAGGCTGACGAGACCAGGTTCGTTTCTAGTTTTAACGTGAGAGGGACAGGTGCATACTTATGTGCGGAGAACACAGTGTGGACGAAGAATGAGGGGTTATTTGGAGCAAGATCCCTGAGAAGTTTGGGAGGGGCAGGATCGCAGCTCCAGGCGGAGGCAGGAACCTTGGACAGTAGGAGGGATGCTCTTCTGTGAACTGAGTTTGTGGAAGAGGAAGTGTCGTGACCTTTGACTTCCCTATCAAGACATACAATGTTTATGCTTACAGACCTAAATCCTTCACAGTGCAAGTATTCCTTATTTGAAGTTTATCTCCAAATGGAGAAAAACTAGAAAACCTTTTAGTCTAACCCTCTGCTATCCAGTACCATAGCCACTGGCCATATGTAGTTTTTAAAACTTGAATTAATTAAAATGAAATGACGTTAAGCTTCTCCACTGTCCTGGCCACATTTCGAATGCTCACTGGCCGCATGCGGCCGCATGTGGCCGCATGTGGTCACTGTACTGGACAGCACAGAGAGGACATGTCCAGCATCTCAGGAAGCTCTGTTGTACAGCATTGTGGTCTCGTCTTTAGTTTCCATGGGCTAAATGATCTTAAGTTGTGCAGCATTACAGCACCACAAGTTCTAAAAATATAAAGATAGCATACTGAATGTATGCTATCTTATAGCATTCAAAATCTGTGAAAGAATTGGAGAAAATAGGTGTAACAGTTTCATTTTTCTTTTCAATTTGGAGTATCATCTGATTTGAAATGATATTGTCAGACTTAAGCAGCTGGTGCTTCAAGTGCATGAGAGCTTTCGACTAGTTCTTGAACCCGTTAACCTCATTTAAAAATTCTGACCTAGTGATCCTAGTGTTTCCACATGCAGGCACCTCTTGACCAAGGGTGTTAATTCTTTTCCTGAAAACGTTCACAGGTGATGTTCCCGAAAGCTCACTCATCGCAGCCGTGCCCGCAGAGGACAAGGCGACCTTTCCTCCCAAACCATCGGAAGCCTCAGCGACTCCGATCGGGAGAAGGGGCCGTCTGGCCAACCTTGCTGCAGTCATTTGTTCCTGGGAAGATGATGTCAGTCACTCATCTGCAAAGCAGAGCAGTGCCCAAGGACAGCCTGGTACCACTTGTTTATCCAAAGCTTCCTCTGCCAGCGGAGCATCTGCTGGGGTCAATAGGGGCAGTGTTAAGCAGGAAACTACATGCTGCTCCCAAAGGGATGGCCGTGCCTCTTTGAATAAAGGCCCGACCTCGAGAGCTGAGGGTGCGTCTTTGATTAAGGTCGCAGTTTCCAGCTCTGCGGTAAGTAAATACAACTTTTATTTTTTTCTTTTTCTTTTTTTTCTTATTCTGTTTTTTGTTTTGTAACTACAATTTTAAATACAAAAAACCTTTCCTCCTTTTGTTATGAGTGATAATGTAAATTTATGTGCAGATATATGTTTTTGTGACATATTCACAGTGTTTATGTGTATTTTTAGATTATTGGTTTCTTAGAAGGTGAAAGTCACCAATTTGGTGCCCAGTCCCAAGATAAAGGGCAGGTACCAACTAGTGCCATTCCACAGTCTATGATGTGAAACCGTGGAGCCTCTTCTTTGTCCTCAGGGGGAACACTGGGAATTACTGTCTGCATTGGGATGCTTTATGCCCACAGATAAGTGGAAGGCAGGCAATATTTCTGAAAACCAGCAGGTGTGGTTACCAGGTGGTAGTTGTCAGCGGTGGGTACGGTACTTTCACCGTCTGCATCCTTTTGAAAGGTTCCCTTGTGCATGCACAGCTTTAAAAAAAAATCTTAAAAAACAAAAAAAAGGAACCTGTGCTCCTGAGCATTGTCTTTCCGTGTGGGACTGGGTTTGGGACCCAGTCATGGGTGGGTCCCAGCCCTGCCACAAGGTTAGAAGTGTGGCTTGGGACACGACATTTCGTCTTACAAGCTAGGAAAGGGCTCTGGGGACAGTGACGTGAGAGAACGTGCACGGAGCACCTAGTGTAAGTATGATACGGTTTTGTTAAGATAATCCCGACTTAATGAAAATACAAAAAATATATAATCTGGTCTAACACAGTTACAATTTATAAACGTCCTAGTGTGACACTATGAAAGAAATTGTTTTTTAACATAGTGACTCTGTTCCTCATACTAAATTGACCATCAGTATATTATGCAGACTAAACACATTGTACCCTGAATTATAGCATCTTCCCAGTTGGTTTGTTTTCAAACCCTTCACATGGGTTTGAGCTATTAGGTGGATGGCAAGACTCTTTCTTTCGAGAGTTTACACGAAGCCTGCCAAGCAAAGAAGATTTATGTTGTTTTGTTATGGGACCGTGTTTAGATATCGTGAGCGTTGTTATTGACCCAAAGCATTACTACATTTCAGAAAGCCCCTTCCCCTGTGAAATCTTCTATATCCATCCCTGATGCCCAAAGTCGGGAGGCACAAAATCCCGAGCGACTTCAGAAAGCTCCCACTTGTCCTCTGGAAACTGAGGTGTTGAAGCCAGTGGGGAAGTCAGCTGTGGCCCAGACGGTTCCGCCCAAAGAAGCATTAAGTAGAGAAACTTGTCTGCAGCCTCATTTTAAAGACAAATCTACAACACCAGGTTATGCATTTTTTAAAAATCTAAAGTTACTGCTGATTATTTTCAGGGTTTGTGTTCTCAGCGTTTTAAACGTCGGTGTGGATGGTGCGGTGTTGGTTAGCCAGAGCAAATGTCGACTGTGTCAGAGCAGACTTCTTCAACTGCAGCTTCAGTTGATAGAATAGATATGCAGCAGCATAGACTAATCCAGATACTGGTCCGAGTGTTTAACCTGTACATCTCAGCAGCTTAAACATGCTTTTCTCTCAGAAGGACTGTGCTAGATGCTTTCTTCTGCACTTTTTGGTGCGGACGATGCATGTGCAACTGGAAGTCGTGTTGTACGGGCAGAATGGAGAAACATTCTCGTCACCAGGTGTGCGGGGTAGTGCTTCTCATCATCGCTGTGAAGGTGCCCCTAATAGCAAGGGAGGTGAATGAGTACGCCAGTGGCCCCAGCCCTACTCGTACTTGTGTGTGTGTGTACTGTGTATGAAGGTGTGCACGTGAGCACATAACAAATGCATGTGCACTTGCATACCCCAGCATGGTCCTGGTTGAGAAGCACAGGACTCAAAGCATGGCAACAGTGACTACTCTTCACTCCATTCTTTCTCATTAGAATTGCTCTTGGAAAGACAGTTTTCCTTCTAAATTTTAACTTCTTAAAAACCAATTTCTTCAGAACCTATAGTCCATCCTAGAAGGGAAATAGACAGAGAGATGGGGGTGGGGAATCCACTGGTTATGGGTGAATAGAAGCCAGCAGTCAGTTTCCAGAGGAGCCAGAATGAGAATTGGAAAGATAGCAAAATCCCAACGTGGAAAAGGATTAGTTACTTCCCATTTTCTGAAGATTTAGTACACAGATAGGAATGCCTAGATAAGAAGCATTCTTTTTATTGTTCAGGGCCTGGGAGATATTTAATTTACATTTCTTTGTGTTGTTAATAGACTCTAAGGATGTGTGAAGTCTTCACTCTGTGGCTGTTGCTCAAATTCTGCCCTTCACCTGTTCTCTCAAACACAGTTTTACTGGGACACGCCAGGCCATTTCCTGGCTGACTGCCTTCCTGCCTCAGATCGGAGCTGAGTCGCGACAGTGGGCACACATTCTGCAAAGCCCAAATGCTCACTGCTGGCCCTTCCGAGGAAAAGGGTCGTCAGTTTCTGATGCAGGCACACCTGCTTTGACGCAGTGTAAGCCTGGCACCACCCCCCACCCCCACCCCGCCTGGGAGAGCCTGTCTCCTTGGTTCTGCTTCACTGTGCCCCATGGTGGCTTAACTCCTGGGGTTCCACGTTAGGGCTCCTAAAAGCAAGATAAAATAAGTTGGGCTGTAGAAATACAAGTAGTGGGGTTATCATGGCCAGGACACTCGGTAGTTCAGGTACGTTATTGATACACAGTCAGTTTCCAGTTGTTTAGGTTCTGATCGATCCTTATGTTTAAGGGTTTTCTAACACCCACTGTCCTTTCACTCCACCTTAAAAATAATTTATTTTTTAAAAGAACTAAGTCCTATAATTAAATTTTAGGCCATGGAGTTAAATAGTTTGGTAAAAATTTTAAAGTGTTTTTGTATCGTTTACTTTCTGAATGAATATTCCTAGTGTATTCAAAGCATTTTGGAGCTGTACTGGATTTTGGAGCTGTTGCCAGAGACATCATCACAGTTACTAATTCTGAATGGCCTCCAAACACGTGTGTTTTCTGTAGTTGGAGCAGGAGTCAAGCCTTTCCTGGAGCGCTTTGGGGAGCACTGTCGAGAGCGCAGCAGAGAAAGTCCAGCTCGTGGCACCCCCCACAGGACCCCCGTGGTCACTCCAAACACAAAGGCCATCCAGGAAAGGTTGTTCAAGCAAAACACATCCTCCTCCACGACCCACACAGCGCAGCGGCTCAAGCAGGTATGGCTCACTGCTTCTGACGTTACCATTGCACGGTCTCGACAGAGGATCTGTACAGACCAAACTGTGTTCTCAAACTGGTCTTTCTGGCCGAGGTGAATAGCATCTTGATGCTCTGTACTGTGTGTTTCAAATTAGAAATATTATTGTCCTGTATTCCATGCATATTGTGATTTTTTAATCTTTTTAAAAAATAATTTTTAAAACAATTTTTTATTCACTTATTTTAGACAGAGGGGGAGAGGGGGAGAAAGGGAGAGAATCATCAGTGTGTGGTTGCCTCTCACACACCCCCTACTGGGAATCTGACTTGGCCAGCAACCCAGGCATATGCCCTGACTGGGATTTGAACCGATGATCCTTTGGTTCACAGGCTGGTGCTCAATCCACTGAGCCACACCAGCCAGGGTGACTTTTTTTATCTTAATATTGAAGACAAGCAAAGTTAGTAGAGTTTGGATATTATTCTTATACTATTGGCCTTGTGTAAAAGGGAGCTTTTGATGGTTTCAGGAACGGGAAAAAGAACTAGCATGTCTTCGTGGCCGATTTGAAAAGGGCAATTTATGGAGTGCAGAAAAAGGCGAAAACTCAGGAAGCAAACCGCTGGAAACCAAACAGGTAAGAAAAACGAGAAAGAAGAGTGAACGTAGTACCAAAGTGGCGCTGGGATCTCGGGTGGTGCTGAAGAGTCAACAGCTCTTCACGTGATTTCCTGTTCCGGTCCGCGTGGCCACGTTCCATCCCTGGGCGCCTTCCCTGTTCACGCCGGCGTTGCTCTTCTCTGTGACATTCCCCACTTGGCAAACTCTTTACCGGACTCCTGATGGCCCACTTCAAGTCAGACTTCAACCCCTTATTCTCGTCATTTCATTGATCTCTGGTGCCTTTTAGTATCCTGTGTAGGTACTAGTTCTAACGCATTTTCAGACCTGCTTTTCTTGTTCGTGATTGTGTACCCCTCCCCAAACACCCTTCTTTAGACGACCTGCTGTAACCCTTCCAGTGACCAGGTAGCTCCCAGGCTGCTCCTTACTTCTGTCTTTCCTGCCTGTTTTCGTGAATCAGTCTGCAACAGATCCCTGCTTGTACATGTAAGCTGTGTTCTGTTTCATCTACGCGCTCACTGTGTATCAAGTACTGTACTAGGATGTATTTTTAAGCTAAAGATAAGAGTTATGTTTAAAGTGGGTACCAACAGAAAAAACAATAAGCGTAACCAGTATGCTTGGACAAATACCTATTTGATTTTTTTTTTTGTCAATTCTCTTAACAAAGGATGTTTCCCAGAGTTCTAATCTCAGCTATGTTTTTCTTCTCACTTGCCTGGGGACATCTCTTTTTCATTCGTTATCCAGCTTCAGTCCAGCACAGAAAGGCTAGTGATGCCCAGCTCTGGGCACATCTCTCTCCTGAACTCTAGGTCTGGTTGGCTAGTCGAGCCTTTGCTCTCACCTCAGTATCTTCCCCACAGTGTCTGTCTTCCCTCGGGGCTTCCCCCCTGTGCCCCGTCATTGAAAACAGTCCAGGGGTTCTTCCTTGACTCCTTCCTCTTACACTGTGTCTTCCCACCTCCTGGCCACTAGCATGCACAGGCTTGTGTGCACACGCACATACATAAGCACACCTATATCCAGTGTACATTTTCTAAATCTGTCACCAGGCTGCCTGGTCCTGTGTATTTTCCTGTGCCATCAGCTTAATCATGAATGTCGTTTTGTGTGTGTTTGGCTCCCTGCGTCTAGCCGAGCTACTCTCTAGTGTATCTTACCAGGGCTGCCAGAGAAGTGTTTTTAAAAGACAAGTATTCATGTATTCACTTGCTTAACATCCTAGAGGGCTCCCTGTAGCTCTCACCAGAAAGCTGTCGGGGGCGCTTGGCTTGACCCCCCAGACTCATTCAGAACCCGCCTCCTCCCATGTGTGTCCGTCCGGTCACGCAGGCCATGTGTGATTTCTCACATGTGCCCATCTCATCAGACCCCCTTGCCTTTGCCCCACTGCTCTCTGCACGAGTGTCTCCGTGGCCAGCTTCTATTTCCCGTGAATAGGTCAGAGTTTGATCTGCTCTGGGAAGCCTCACTCGGCCCTTTCCCCAAGGGGCCCCCGCTTTTTTCAGCCATGTCGCCCTGTATTCTCCTCAACTGGAATATTTACCTCCCTGTAATTGTTGACTCCGCCTTGCACCGCTGTGTCTGTGAGCCATTCGGTCTCTGTGTTGGCCTGGCTCCTAGTGGGAGCTCAGTGCGTTTGTCTTTGGGGAAAGGATTGAACGTGCTCGTCTTTCACATCAGCATACTGCAAGTTGTCATCCGTCACCTTAAAACCAGACCAACTCTATCGCTCACCCTGCCCGTCCTCCTGTCTTTCTCTGCGTCCTGTTCACGCACACTTCCAGAAGAACAGACTCTCCTTGGTGCTTCCAGTTTTTCTCCTCTGATGTACCTCCACTATCCACCCCGCAGACCCCTCCCTTTATCAGGTGCACCGGTGATCTTCAGTGATCGGTGTTCAGGTGTTGAACTTAACCTGTTAGCAGCATCCGACATTGCTGGTCACTCTTCTGTTGGAAGCCCCTGCATTGGTTGCCAGTATATCATGGTCTGGTGGTTCAGCCACTTCATGCCAAATAATTCCTGCTAAACCTGTGGGCTTCCGCCCCAGATGGATGCACGTATGCACATGAACAGGGTCTTCCTGCTTAGAGCTCCTCTGTGTTACCCACCCACAGAGGGAGCAACCAGGGAGGTGGTAGGGACAGAGAGTCGAGTGTCGAGTTACTGCAGTGAAGGGAAGAGAGAGCCTTTCAGAAGGAAGGAGCAGTAGGTATTGTCAGGGTTGCTTGTCTAGTGCAGGTGGGACCGGGACCCCTGGCTGTGAAATGAGGAGCTTATTGTGACTTGGCAAGAGCGGTCTCAGGGAAGTGAGGCTAGCACGAGGGTAGGGTGTGGGAAGCCGGGCCGGGAGGGGCGGGTAGGCAGTGCTGGGTTTGGTTCCAAGGGGCCGGAGAGAGGTGGCAACTGGCAGCGGGTGAGAATGTGACGGGTGGTTTATGTTTGTTTTGCTTCCCGAGGAGACTCAAGTCAGTTTTGGCATTGATGGGAAGGACCTTGTAGAAAGTAAGAGGTTGCAGGTAGAGGTTATCTAAACTGGTTTGTCTAAAGCTGAGCCCTGACACAGACCCTCACCCGCCCTTGCCTCCTGGTCTCGGCGGCTTTACATGCTGAGAATGATTGAGTGAGAACTAGCGCTGAGGGCCCTTCCACACAGGTGGCCTGTTTTGTTCTGAGGAAGCATACGTAGAGTAGTGACCCTGGTTTGTTTCGTTTAGTAACTCGTAAAAAGACAAACATTTCTTGTTTTGAGAAATAAAATTTATCTCTTCATTTACTTTTTGCAGGAAATTCACAGTCAGAACACTCCCCTCCAAAAACATCAAGTTGTTTCAAATACCCCGTCACGTCCAGTGACAGAAGGAGACAGAAAATCAGACACCAGGACAGAAAAGGAAAAGGGGAGAGAAAACCAGACACCAGGAAAACCCCGCAGTACAGAAGCTGCAGGTCAGCATTTTTCTTGAGTTCACTTAAAACACAGCGGTCAGTCGGCCATAGTTTCGGAACTTGGACTGGAGGCCAGGATAGCTGCTGTGGGGTCAAAGGGCAGATTCGTTTCTTCCTTCCCACCCACTTTTTCATTCAGGCCGCTCCATGTGCTTCTTCCTTAAGTCCCTTTCCACAGTGAAAACTCATTCTCTTGACGAGAGTATAAACGACTGTGGCTTTTTTTTTTGGAGAAAAATTTAGTAATATCTATTGAACTGTAAGGGGTGCCTGATCTTCTTCGGTTGAGCTTCTCTGCACGTGTGTGTAGGGTGAATTCTTAGAACTCACGTGCAAAGATGTACCGTGTACAGAGAGGTGAGCTGTAGCACTGTTTGTTCATTGCAATAACATTGAAATGACCTGAATGCCCATCAGTGGGAGACTTTAAATAAATTGTGCTAAATCCATGTAATCAAATACTATGTAGCTGCTTAAAAGATTAAGGTAGCTTTGTATGTAATGACATTTAATATATCACTGACCCTCAGAGACATATTTTTTAATTTTTAGAGGGGGGTAAAAAACATATTACTAAAACTTAACCATCTAACACTTTTTAAGTGCACAGTTCATTGGTGTTAAGAATATTCATGGTGTTGAGGAGCAGGTCTCCAGAGCTTTCTCCTGGGGCAAAATGGAAACTCTGCACACATTAAGCAACAAACCCCATTTCCCCATCTCAACCCCTGGGAAACACCACTGTGCTCTCGGTTTCCATAAATTTAACTACTTTGGGGACCTCCTGTAAGTGCGATTATGTAGTGTTTGTCTTTTTGAGACTAGCTTCTTTAATGTAGCGTAGTGTCCTCAAGGCTCCTCTATGCAGTGGCCTGTGACAGAGCTTCCTTCCTTCCACGGTGGGACGGTAGTCAGTTGTGTGCACGTGCTACGTTCTGGTTGTCTGCTGCCTGTCCTGGGCCCACGTGGGCCCCTGCTGCGCTGGGCTCTCGTGAACAGAGCTGCCGTGAGCATGGTTTGCAGATGTGTGCTTGAGACCCTGTTTTCAGTTCCTCCGGACTTAGCCCGGGGGTGGGATTGCTGGATCATGGAGTAGTTCCGTGTATAATATTTTGAGGAACCCTTGTACTGATTCCCACAGTGTTTGACTGTTTTTATCATCTCACCAGCAGCGCACAAGGGTTTCAGCTTGTCCCTGTGTTGGCCAACACTTGATATTTTCTGTTTTTTTGGTGGTAGCCATCCTAATGGTGTGAGGTGGTACATCGTTTGTGATTTCAATTTGCATTTCTCTTATGATTAGTCACGTTGAGCATCTTTTCGATACTTGTTGGCTGTCCGTTATAGTGTCTTTGGAGAAATGTCTCTTCAAGTCCATTGCCCATATTTTTTTAATCAGGTTACTGGAAATTGTTGTTGAGTTGTAAGAGTTCTTTAAAAGTTTCTACAGTTCACAGATATTTTTTCTCATTCGATAGGGTGCCTTTTCCATTCTGTTGACTGTGCCCTTTGATGCACAGAAGGTTTTAAGTTGGATGTAGTGCCTTTTGTCTATTTTTGCTTTTGATGCCTGCGCTTTCGGTGCCATACCCAGGAAATCATTGCCAAATTCATTGCCATGAAGACTTTTTTCTTTTTCTTTCTAGAAGTTTTGCATTTAGGTCTTTAATCCATTTTGAGTTAATTTTTGTATAAGGTGTCAGATAAGCACCCAACTTCATTCTTTTGCATGTGGATATTCAGTTTTTCTAATATCATTTGTTGAAGAGAATTTTTCTCCTTGAAACATCTTGGAGGCTTTGTCAAAGATCATTTGACTATATATATGTGAAGTTTTATTTCTGGGCTCTGTATCCTATTGCATTGGTGTATAGCCCTTACTTTATGCTAGTACTATACTGTTTTAATTAGTTTAGTTTTATAATATGTTTTAAAATCAGGAAATATTAGTCTTTTAACTTTGTTCTTTTTCAGAATTATTTTGGATATTCAGGGTTCCTTGAAGTTTCATATGAATTTTAGGATGGATTTTTCTATTCCTCCAGAAATACCCTTGGGATTTTGATAGGAATTACATTGGCTCTGTAGATTGCTTTGGGTAGTATTGACATCTTAATGATGTTAAGTCTTCCCATACATGGACATGAGACACAACAATATTGTTTCCAGTGCATGAACATAGATATCTTTCCGTTAGTTGTGTATTTCCTGTCTTTCATCCGTGTTTGTAGAGTTCATGTACAAGTCTGTCACTGGTGTAAATGGAATTGTTTTCTTCACTTCCTTTTCAGATCGTTCACTGTTAGCGTATAGAAATGCAGCTGATTTTCGTGTTGATTTGTGTCCTGCATCTTTGCTGAATTTGTTTATTAGTTCTGACAGGTTTTTGTGGAACCTTGATCGCTTTCTGTATACAAGGTCGTGTCATCTGTGAACAGGGATAATTTTACTTTTTCTTTTCAAACTTGAATCCTTTTTATTTATTTTGTTTGTTTGTTTGTTTGTTTGCTTCTTGCTATGACTAGGACTTCCAGAGCTTTGTTAAGTGAATGTGGTGAGGGGGGTGACCTTGTCTGGTTCCCGACCTTAGAGGAAGAGCTTCCAGTCTTTCACCTTGAGAAAGACCTCCTTTACTGTTCTCTGTGTGTGGGCTTTCCACGCATAGAGGTGGTTTCCTGCTATTGCTGATTTTTCTGAGTTTTTGTTGGCACTTTTTTAAAAAGTGAGAAAGAAAGCTCAGAACAGCATGTAAGTGTGATCACCCTTCCATATACTGAAGGGATCCACACGTACGTCTGTGCACACACACACACACACACACACACACAGGTGGGAGAACTGGAAGAACAAACAGTGACCTGCTAACACTGCTGTCCCTGTCTCTTGGTGGGAAAGATGGGACAGGTCAGAGGACAGATGCTTGGGATATTCTCTATACATTTCTTGGCTAGAAATGTGGTTTGTTTTTTTTTTTTTAAAGATTTTATTTATTTATCTTTAGAGGGGAAGGGAAGGAGAGAGGGAGAGAAACATCAATGTATGGTTGCCTTTCATGTGTCCCCTGCTGGGAACTGGCCTGCAGGGAACTGGCCTGCAACCCCAGTATGTGTCCTGACTGGGAATCGAACCGCGATTGTCTGGTTCGCAGGCCCGTACTCAATCCACTGAGCTACACCAGCCAGGGCGAAATGTGGTTTTATAGTCAGAAAAAAAGATACATAAGATTCTTTAACCAAAAAATTCTGGGTTCTTATATGGATTAATGTGGTTTTTCCTAAACGTTTTTTAGGTCTCACTGAATGTGCAATGACGAAGTCTAGCCCTTTGAAAATCACATTGTTTTTAGAAGAGGAGAAGTCTTTAAAAGTAACGTCAGACCCAAAGGTTGTGCAGCAGAAAGGTTGGCTTTTATTCTCTATTTCTTATTAACACTGAGTGTGTTGTAAGAAACAGTGTATCAGTGGAAGCACATGATCAGCTCTACAGCATTCTGTGTTTCTAAACGGCCGGTGGTTTTAGAGAATGCTCTCTCTGTTTTTAAACCAAGACGTACTCCAGCTTCCACAAATGCGGGGCGCTGCTAGTGGTCCCCGTTAGGCCGCAGCCCCCTGACAGTGTGAGCGAGGCCGTCTCACACCTGTCGGGCGGGGCGGGAGCGTGCTGCCCTCTGCACCCCGCTTGTGCTGTGAGGGGTCAGGGGCCCCAGGTGACGTTAGTCCTTTTTCCCATTGGCGACCGCCATCTCAGGGCAGCTCCAACAAGAGAAACGGTTACGTGAAAGAACGATTTTTGTAAGTCAGAGGCTTTCGGCTGCTATCCTGAGTTCTCAATAGTCTTTCAGCATTGAATCAGCTTCTGATAGTTGTACTGTGTTGTTTAGAAAATGTTACCAGAAATTTGGAAATTATTTTGGTTTCAAATATTTGTAAATTTCATTATTATTTTGTTTGGGAGGTGCTTTTCATTAGGGCTTTCCCCTGTTTATTTAGTCAATGTGTGAATATTACGTCTTCTCGGCTATCCTGTGAAATTTTAAAGGTCTGAATCACATTGTTCATTTACTGAAATCTTTTCAGAAGTGCTACGTGAAATTGCGATGAGCGTGGATGATGATGATGATATCAATAGTTCAAAAGTAATCAATGACATCTTCAGTGATGTCCTCTCGGAGGAGGGTGAACTGGATGTGGCAAAGAGCCAGGAGGAGAGGGCCCGAGCAGCGGCCGAGGGCAGCGAAGACCAGGAGGATGCGCTGAACATCTCCTCCATGTCCCTGCTGGCTCCCCTAGCACAGACGGTGGGCATGGTGAGCCCCGAGGTGAGAAAAGGCTGCATGTGAACAGGCTGGGGCGGAGAGGAGCCAATAGTGGTGGGGTCTCCTTTTGTTTTAATGGGGACATGGGGATTTAGCGCTCTGTAGCCAGGGGGATTTTACAAACCTGATGTTGTCTCTTAAAACAGAGCTTCAAACTCTTCAGGGGTTTTCTGTTGACCTTAGAGAAAATCCAAACGACCACGGCTTCAAAAGCCTGACATTTGGGCCCAAATCCTGTCCCTGCCATTTCCTGAGGTTTACTGGTCAGATCGTATAACCTCTTCACCTCAGTTCACTCAGCTGTTGACTAAGGTTCAAAGTAGTATCTACATCAGGGGGTTGATGTGGGTACTCAAACACCTCCGTGTATTGGTGTTTAGTACCAGACAGATAACCAACATTTATTGAGAATGAACTGTATTATTAGCTATTGCTCTACGTTGAATAATTGCAGCTTTGTTTGCAAACTGATTCAGTTAGAAATATTTTTATTTTTTATTTATTGATTTTTAGAGAGAGAGAGAGACATAGATTTGTTGTTCCATATATGTATGCATTCATTGGTTGCTTCTTGTATGTGCACTGACTGGGGCTCGAACCTGCAACTTTGGCGTACTGGGACAACACTCCAACCAGCTGAGGTCCTTGGCCAGGGCCAATTAGAAATATATTTAAGAAAGGTTAGGAAAGTAGTTTTTAGCTGTCTTTCAATTTTTATTTATTTACTTACTTTTTAGGAACTTATTTTAGTTTGCCTTGTTTTTATGATGAATCGCTTCACGTATTGGGTATTTATTTCCTAGTAATAGAGAATTCATTCAGTTCCTTAGAATTATCACTTAGAATCAGTGTCATCCATAAAATCTACAAATACCCAATGTGCTTCCTTGCAGAGTTTAGTTTCCTCGCCTAGAATGAAATCGAAAGACGACAGTACAAGTAATGAGAGTCCAAAGTCAGGAAAGTTCCAGAGAACCCGGGTCCCGCGGGCGGAGTCTGGTGACAGCATTGGTTCTGAGGACCGGGATCTTCTTTACAGGTGGGGACTTTTGGGAAGGCCTTACCCCTCAGGGTCTTGGTGTAGATTGGTGCAACAGGTTGTATTCTTTACAGTTACAATGTTACTAGTAATTAAACTTGTATAGAATTTTGGAATAACTTTTGTCAGCCTGCCTTTCACCCAATGGCATTTTCCATTCCGGGGAAGTGTCTGGCTGCTGTGTTTCAGTATCTATATCCAGTTTGCTGAGATGTTTAGTGGATGGTAGTGTTTAGAGTGTGGCTGGGTTTCTAACAGTGCAACTGTTTCCTGAAGCATTGACGCATACAGATCTCAGAGAATCAAAGAAACAGACCGTCCTTCAGTAAAGCAGGTGATTGTTCGGAAGGAAGATGCTACTTCCAAATTGGAGGGGAAGAAGAATGCTGCAGAAAAGAATGTCTTTCCTTGTCAAGTTAACGTCAAAGAGAAAATGCAGGTATGTCCTCTGGGCGAGGGGACCCGGGGTGTTCTGCCCGAGGCAGCGCTCCCCCTCCCCACACCTGCCTCACTCATCACTGTGCCCTGGGCCCCCCGACAGCGTCTGGCCCATCGGGCCTCTGTGATCACTCTAGAGTTCAGTTTAATTTGAGAAAGTCAGAAGAAGACTGACTTAGAGAAGACTTAGAGAAGTCAGAAGCTTGTTTGATATTGTTGACATGCTTATTTGTACGCGTTTGTCCTACATGTCCTTGAAGTGTTAACTATAAATTAAATGATTATGAAACGTGAAATTTATTTTTCTCTTAGAGTTTCTTTTACTCTAAGGAAAACTTTAAAAAGGTTACAACATGCATGTAATTTAAATAAAATGGATCAGATCATGCTTAATCTTAACTGTGTTGGACACAGTCCCGATTATAATGTTAGTATCAGTTGTGAGTCTTTTCATAAGGAAGAATGATTATAGTGTAATTACTGCATTGTGTTAAATGTCTTTGATGCACAGTCTGGAACTTGAACCATGAAACTGGACCCATTTTACTTTCTGGGAATTTTGGAAATTGTTGGATCAGCTGGTTTATAATTAAAGTGTCAGTAAAGTGAAAGTGGTGACCAGGGCCCGAGTTTCCCTCTCCTCTTGGCCTCCCCAGGAGCTCAACAATGAAATCAACCTGCAGCAGACGGTGATCTACCAAGCCAGCCAGGCCCTGAACTGCTGCGTGGACGAGGAGCACGGCAAGGGCTCCCTGGAGGAGGCCGAGGCGGAGAGACTGCTTCTGGTCGCAAGTGCGTGCCGCACAGTTTCAAACCAGGAAAAGTGCCGATTCCGGGGAAGGGGCCTTTGCTGATAGATAATCTGTCTTAGTTGATCTGTGCTTTGTTGTTTTTCATAAGGTCGGTGGACACCCTAGGTATAAAATGAGATGTGGTGTGCACAAAAGGGTGGAAGAAACTGGAATGCAGTGGAGGGGAATGCGGTCGTGAAGGGTGTGCTGAGAACGAACACAGGACTGTATCTACATCCACACACAGATGCTCACACTCTGTCTCTGTCCCTGTTGTGTGTATGTGTGGTGATGGATGATGGGCGTGTTAGCATGGAAAGATCGTACCGCACAAGAGAACCGACTCAGTCGAAGTGCTAAATTTTAAGCACTTGCTAAACAGAATAGTGATGGAGGTTTTCCCCAGGTGCCTGCCACCTGTTCATAGAGAGAAGGTTACTGATTTCGTCTCTGGTCACATGTGCAATCACCACAGGGTATATTGGTCTTAGAAACAGCTGCATTTTCAGTGTTTGAAATAGTGTCTTGCATACCTTTACCCAGCTGAGAAGAGAGCACTTTTGATTGAGGAGCTGAATAAACTGAAGAACGGGGGGCCTCAGAGGAAGCATAAGGCTGCGCCCGTGGCCCAGAGTGAATTTGCCCCGTCCAAAGGGTCGGTCACTTTGTCGGAGATCCGCCTGCCTCTAAAGGCAGACTTCGTCTGCAGCACGGTTCTGAAACCAGGTACGGCACCGTTTTCCTCGGCACGCCTTCTAGGTCTCCTGTTAGATCATGGCCCTCACCTGGGCTGAAGCGGTGCCGTGGGAATGGGTACAGGGTATGAGGAAAGATACACAGCTTGTATCCTGGGCCTTCAGTTCCTTTTGTGAACGAACACATGTGTGAAAATAGCCAAGGAAATTTCATGCGTGGGTCACTGATCCACACAGTCACAGACGTGGCTCTCCTTGAAAGTAAGGCTAGTGAAACATCGTTCTGAACGTAAAATATTTTTCTGAGATGCGGGCAGCACCCTGACATAGCAGTCAGCCAACTTGCATTAATTAATGTTATCGTGGAAAGTATGTGGGGCATCTAAAAGAACTCATTTTACTTCCTTCGTTCTCTGTGAAAATCATCCTGTTGCAGAATGTGTTCTGCAAGTTATGAATTACTGCCTGTGAGAGTGAAGAGCCCCACACTGCTTCAGTAGGAGATACTTCTACTGAAATTTTATTCCATTTGCCCCTCCAGATTGAACAAGTCAACTTTTCTAAACTGTGTAATCTCCTAAAAGTCACTAATGAGCAAAGTGTGTAAAGGAGACCGTGGCCCTGAGGACAGGGCAGGATAATTATAGCAAGCTCAAGAAAATTAAGTTTTGGATTTTTTTTAAAGGTTTCTTTGAATTTTTGTGTGAGACATTCTCTTAGAGAGAAAGGAGGGCTAGATATAGGTGAGGAGTGAATTTCAGGTGCATGGAAAATGCAGAGTGGAGCTCTTCGAAAGTCAGCAATTTGGCAGGAGCGGGGTGACCTGTGTTCTAAGCCTTGTCATCTGAGCCCTGTCATCTGGTTTTGGCGGTGTGGGCAGAGGTCCTCGGTGATGCAGCGCGGGCCTTCTTCGGACCTGCGATTATTTAATGACAGATAGTTCGAATTTTCATTAGAATGTTTCTATAACTTGGACAAGAATATAGTATTTCAGTCTCAGTTTTGAAATATAGTAGTGTATACTCAAATGTATACTATTAGCTAAAGAATTTGGGGTCAATAGGTAAAATTTGAAGTCAGCAGAAACTGAGGAATGTGGAGAGAAGTTATGTTAATTCATGTAATAGGAAGAGACATTGGTGAAGCTTATTCCAGAGTTATGACCATCTGCTTAAGTCTTACCTTTTCATGTCTAAAAAGTTGATTTTAGAATTGTTCAGTAAATTGTATATCAATCAGTTGTAGTGTTACCTTATTCCTTTGGTCTCCCAGAATGCTGATGATCTAGATCTGATTTTGCTTGTGCTTATTATGTAATGTGATTATTTCTTGCAGATGCAGCAAATTACTATTTCTTACTTATACTGAAGGCAGGAGGAGCTGAAAATATGGTGGCCACTCCCTTAGCCAGCACTGCGGGCTCCCTCAACGGCGACGCGCTGGCATTCCCGACCACGTACACTCTGTGAGTGCCGGGCCCCTGATGGTCCAGAGGCCTGAGCACCCGGGGGCATTTAGGGCCTTGGCTGTGCAGGGTGTTCACTCTTTTGTTCGGACGAACCACTCACTTTCAGTTGGTTTAACTCTTCTGTTTCCGATGTTTCCTGCTACTGAGCAGCACACTGCTTTCACGGGACTGTAGGTGTTTAATGTCAGCACTGCTTTTATAATGTGCATGTGTGTAAAATATTGATCATAATTTTCTAGCCATGCTTTAAATCTAATGTACTTCATATTCAGTCTCAAGGAAAAGACATTTAATGTCATAGATTTATTTCGAAACTAGAGTCAGAGTTCAGTTTGAAAAAAACTACTTTTATTATTGAAGATCCTGAGTTGTAAAATACTAAGGAAAATAAGTGACTTGGATTATAGGAAACAATTGATTGTTCTTTCCAATTTTTGTATTCTTAAGTGGTTTATAGCTATTGCCTTCAGTTAAAACAGCGAGTTTCTATACTCCCAGAGTCTGGTAACAGTGTTTGCGGCTTCATCTTGGTATATAACTTGGTATTTTTCTTACAGTTTTAATGCTTTATGTTTTCAGGGAAGATGTATCCAATGACTTTGAAATAAATATCGAAGTTTACAGCTTGGTAAGCAGTTAAACTTTCTAAAGGAACCACTAGTATATTTTTCGTAGAGATACCGGGTTTAAGCTAATTATGCTTTGGCTTTGTTGTAGATGCAGAAGAAAGATCCCTCAGGGCCTGATAAGAAGAAGAAGGCCTACAAATCCAAGGTGAGAATGAAAGGAACCCAGTGAAAATATAGTAATCAGAGATAACAGACAGCACACCCGTTTTAATCGGGGTTGTAATGATGACCAAGTGTGTAGGCCCCCACATCTCCGTTCCTGCGTTTCAGGGGAGTGAACACTGAGAGTGAGCTCACCGTGAGTGTGTGTGGTCAGGGCCCCGAGTGTGAGCTCCTCATAGACTCAGGCTCCGTAACTCTATCTCTCTGGGTTTTCCTGATGGCATACTTGTATTACCCTTTAAACTTTTCAAGTCATCATTTAAGTAACTTTATTTGGTTTTAACAAAGAAGGAATGACAGTATGGGTAAAGCCATAATAAAAGACTTAAGTAAAATACATTCCTATTTAATAATTATTTTCTATGTGGAGTGTCCCAAGGTTGGTTATTTTTAAGCTTTAAATCGTAATGTTTACTAGGAATTACACTAAGGTATCTTTTCTTTCAGGCTATTACTCCAAAGAGATTTCTCACATCTATAACCACAGTGAGTAGAATTTCTAAAAACTGGAGCTTCCATGTGAAACCTTCATGGTACAAATATGATTATAAATTGGTAAACCCTGTGCCGGAAAGCATCTTTCCGGCACAGGGTTTACCCTTAGCACTTTGGAAATCTTTAAAGTACCATAATGGGGGTGGGAAATCGCTGATATTTACATAGAGAAAAATGAATGTTTTCTGAAATGTAGTTCTTGCAGTGTTAAAGAGTTTTGTATTTAACGTTCAAATCTTTGTATCTAATGAAGAAAATAATTTGTTGCTTCTTCCCACTCTCTTTTAGAAAAGCACCCTTCATTCTTCAGGTGAGTGGATGCTAAACTGTTAGAAAGACTAGACTCAGGGAAAGAACCAGGCAGACACATCCTCACAAGAACAGGCATCTCGATGTATGAGTGTTTAGCATAGTCTCCTTTGAAAGATACTGTCTCCATGGCTTCAGTAACACCTGGGGTCGCTGCCACTTCGAATGCTCTCCTGTGGCCATTGTCAGACTCCACACAGGCCTCCGGTCACCAGGACACTCGGGCTCCAGCAGGCGTTGCACCGCGATGCCTGGTCGTTGGCACTGCGGCAGGTTGCGTTGCCCTTCACCTGGCTGTACTGCCCTGCAGATGCGTTTTGTGCCGTTGACACTGTGGGGTTGACTTCTTTTAACTTTGCCAATCGTCACTGGCCTTGTGTTGTGTCAGCAAAGCATCTTTCCGGCACAGTGGGACCTGAGGTGCCAGGAAGCCAGGAGAGGCCTTATCTAGAATGAACTAGGCCTCTTTTCCAAAGGGTACTGGGACTGAGCTGGTTTCACTCTCCCGTTGGGGGCTTTTGGCCTCTTTCTGGTACAAGAGTAACTAAGAAGTGCCATGTAGTATAGTCTGTGCTACTGATCATGTTTGTCCGAGACTACAGCAGTGAAGTCTTCTCTTAGCACTTACAGGACAATTGTATTTCGCATGCATATTTTGAGGTTCTGTGTCTTTAAAAACCTCTGTTCCAAATGTTCAGAAGTGCCTATATTTCACTGTTTTTTTTAGCAAGTTTGTATTTTCCCTACATCTTAGAGATGGAGGAGAATGATGCAGTTTCTTCTATGGCAGTTTATTTTCATTCTGTTGGGGGGAGGTGAGGGGTTGTTATGTGCACTTAGAGGAGTCGCTGTGAGCTGAACCCCATCTCTTTTCTCTTTAGTTATGGCCAGTCCAGGCGGCCTCAATGCTGTCCGCACCAGCAGCTTTACGCTTGTTGGGTCCCACACGCTGTCGCTGTCTTCAGTAGGAAGCACTAAATTTGCTCTGGACAAGGTAATCCAGATGTATTTATTTACTTTCAGAAAAATTAGGTCCTTGAAAATGCTCCAGTACTTTCAAGTATTTGAAATCTTTGAAAATAGGCATTCTTAGAATTACATTTCATCTAAGTATTGGTATATCTACGTGATGTGTGTGTGTATGTACTACTCTCACTTGAGAATGTATTGATTTTGGAGGGAGGGGAAAGGAGGGAGATGCAGAGGGAGAGAAACATTGATTGGTGGCCTCTCATACACACCCTGACCGGGGACCAAATCCACAACCCAGGCTTGTGCCCTTTCTGGGAATCGAACCTGTGACCTTTTGGTTTACAGGACGACTCTCCAACCAGCTGAGCCACACCGACCAGGGCCTACATGATATTCTTTTTTGGTGTTGGAAATATTTCTTCCTGCGTCTTAACAGTTAAATTCTCAAAGTACTGTATGCTGATTTATTGTAAACGTCAGTTCTGAGTACAGAAGTATTAGTTTAAAAAAATTTCCAGTTGCAGTTGACACACAATATCATACTGGTTTCAGGCGTACGACGCCGTGATCAGACACCTGTGTACAGCGGTCCCCCGCGCAGCCCAGGGCTGTCTGAAACTGCAGCTGTCACAGCAGCACCTCCTGTGCTCCCTAAGCTGTACCTCACGTCCCACGACTGTTCTGTTACCTGGAAGTATTGCTTCTTGCACAGAGATGTTAAGCTTACAGTTTTAAACATAGTCACTTGCCCATTCGAACCAGTATTTTGAAAGAGTAGTATTATTTTATAGATTAGTTTTGACAAGATAAGGGCATTTAGGTTAATTTCTTAGAAAAGTCCCTATGAAACGAAGGAGTTCCTTCCTGCCCTTCCCTCCCCACATTTAAAGCCTCGCAGTTCCCATCTGCCCGACACCACGGAGCGCCTTGCCACCGGAGAGCGGTGTGACCGGGCTTTTAATAACCGACAAGACCACGCTGAGGGGCGAGGGCACTGGAGGCAGACGCTGGTTCTGAGGCCGCCTTCTGCTTCGTAGCACAGGGGTATATTCTGAAGTATTGTGAGAGATGCGGTATTAGAAACCGGGAGGCCTAGTTTCTAGTGTGGCCCTGTGAGCAGTTCCCCTCCAACGCTGAGCAGAGTCACTTCATTTCCCTGGGGTCTCGTTGTCCAAGTGGAGAATAGTAGGTTACAAAACGATGCGACTTTAAACTTTCATGAAACCTGTTTTTTTTGTTTGTTTGTTTTTTAGTTGGTAGACAAAAACTGTACTATATTTGAAATTTTGATGACTGTTAATGCATAAGTATATTTTTTAATGTGTTAATTAAATGCTTGTACTTTTCATTTATTTAGTGATTCAGCTAGTTTAACACATTGAATGATCCTGGGTCTTTTTTTTCTCTTTATCTTTTATTTTGTTTGTTTTAGATAAATTATGATGTAAAAGAGCGAGAGCTACTGGGCTATTTGTTCCAGGAAAAGGTTGCCATTTTTTCTTTGCTTGAAACTAACAAGCTTAAAAATCAGTCCTTAATTTTGGCCTGTATGTATTTGTTTCACTAACCACTCTCGAACCTTCTTGGTTATTTTGAATAATCAAGGACATTATACACATTATCCTTTTTGTCGTCCTTGAAGTTGGGCGTCTTTACTTTGTTCTCTCCTTTATTCCTGCATGTTTGCTTTGGCTTTCTTCTACATTCTTTTTTCATGTTAAAAGTTTTTCAGATTCTGTAGTCTCTTCAACATTGATTTTCTGGGTACTAAGATAGAAGGATTAATCACTATGTCAAAGCTAAAATGTATTCAGTATTGTTTGCCCCCCACACAGTGAAAGAGCTCTGGGTGATGTGTTAAGTAGAAAGCTTTTGGCCAATAGGCATATTGCTGTGTAAGTAATGCTTCATTTATGAATTTTTAAATAAAATGCACTTAACACTAAAGTTATACCAAATCATATTTTAGACTTTTAATACCCTTGTGAACATCAGTGGCAAGCATTTTGTGGATGTATAGAAATGCTAACTTATAAAATGCCGGATAGTATTGTATTATTTTATTTTTTGCCTAAAACAAGGTTTGTAAACTGGGGTTGTACGACCCGTATTCCTTTCTCACTGTTGTCTGTCCTTTTGCCAGTTTCTACGTGTGTGTTGGGTCTCAGTGATCTCTAAAGTGAAAGGGATTCAGTGACACATGGTAATGCAGAATGTTGTTTTTTTGACTTTTTTTTTGTCTGCCATTTTAATTGAAAATGTCACAAAACATTTCTATTCTCTTCATACTTTTGAATTTATAACTTAAGTAGCCAGGCTCATGATTGAGTGCAAAATCATTTAATTCAGTTCGTTGTGTTTAATACTCTAAAGTCTCTCTGTCTCAAATGCAATTTCAGTGTCAGATTTGTCCTGAATGTGCTTTTGTGAGTGCCAGAGAGAAAGCATATATTTGTTCTGATAGATTGTAGTTAATATAAAAGAATATTAAAAATAGTTAAGCTTAGGTGTCCTTTAAATTAGTGGGAACAAATGGAAGCCCTTCTGTGCTCCTTTCATAATTCCACTCAACTCTGGGAGAGCAAACGGGTGTCCCGTGTCTTCCCAGGTGCCCTTGGTGCAAGGGAGCGCTTGCCTGTTTCACAGGTGCCTTGACCAGTGATGGCACAGCGGCCGCCTCTGAGATCCCTTCAGAGTGGCATCGCCTCTGAGGTGCATGCAGACCGTTCTCTCTAAGGCACAGGCGGCAAACACAGGGCCCTCCACCTTGTTTTATCCGGCTTGGCACCATTTCTCTACCCGGCGGCAGCTCTCACTTGACTGTTAAGGAGTAGTTACATTTGTACAGTCCTAACATTACCTTCGGCCCTTTGAAGGCAACCACAAGGCTGATGTGGCCCCCGGTGAAAATGACTTTGACACCTCCCGCTAAGGGTTCAGGACACCACCACCTGGAGCTTGGCTTCTGATTGGAGGTTACAGACGTCTGGTGCACAGTCTGGCATCCAGGAATTTAAATGATGAATCTCAATGGCAGGCTCTCAAATTCTTTTTTTCCCCTTGGAATAGAGAATCCTAGCCGCCCGCAAGGGTCTGCCACGCACGGGCGTTGGGCTATGGGTGAGGACAACTAAGAGATGATACAAAGCGGAGTTTCACAGCCCGAAAAACAAACCTCACACACTGAGGACAGCGTCTGGGTGGCCCAGAGTAGTGTTTATGCTCAGAAGTGGGGGGAAAGGAGACTCTGCCACACTTCCTGTGTCCGTCATCTGCTGATGGGCAGTCAGGCTGCTTTTAGGGCGTGGGTGTCGTGAAGAACACTCCACTGAACATCGGGGCGCAGATGTCCCTTTCCGAAGTGGATTTCAGTTACTTTGGACAAGTTCCCAGAAGGGGGATTGTTGGGTTATGTGGCAGTTCCATCTAATTTTTTGTGGTATCTACACAGGGAAAAGTTTTTAATTTTGATGAAGCCTAATTTGTGAGTTTTTTCTTTTGTTGTTCATGCTTTTGGTGTTGTATCTGAGAATCCATTGCCAAATCCACGATCATTGAAGATTTACCTTTATGTTTTCTTATAAGAGTTATGGTTTTTTAGCTTCCATATGTAGGGCATTGATTCATTTGGAGTTAATTCTTGTGTGTGGTGTGAGGTGGGGACCCAATCTTCGTCCACATGTGGGTGCCCAGTGTCCCAGCACCTTGTGCTGGAAAGATTGCCCTTTCTTCATTGAATGGTCTTGGTACCCTGCTGAAAATCAATTGGTCCTAGAGGTGTGGGTTTATTTCTGGACTTTCAGTTCCTTTCCTGTGCTCTACATGTCTGTTCTCATGCCAATGCCATGCCGTTTTGATTATGGTAGCTTTGAGCTTTGAAACGGGGAAGTATGGTTCTTCCAGCTTTGTTTTTCTCTTTCAAGATTGTTTTGATTGTTTGGGGCCTTTTGCAATTTCATGTGAATTCGAGGGTCAGCTTTTTAATTCTGCAGTACACCATTATTTATCGCTGAGTAATAGTTAATTTTTTAAATTATCTTATTTATTTTTAGACAGAGGGGCAGGGAGGGAGAAAGAGAGGGAGAGAAACATCAATGTGCGAGAGAAACATAGATCAGCTGTCTCTCACACACCCCTCACTGGGGGCCTGGCCTGTAACCCAGACATGTGGGAATCGAACCAGCGACCTTTAGTTTGCCAGTACAGTGCCCAGCCCACTGAGCCATGCTGGTCAGGGGCTAAGTAATATTTTATTGCATTAATATACCAGTTGGTTTGTCTAGTCTCCTAGTGAGTATATTTTATTGATGGAGAATGGCTAAGCACTAACATTCTCTTCTTAAATCTGAGTTTTCTTTATCACATTAACTGGGACTTAAGGTTTTATTTTCATCATCTTTAACTTGAATGGATTTATTCTTTTAAAGTGTTTGTTGCTGAGGAACCAGTGGCTTTTGGCCACTTAATTCATGTTTTAGCTTTAGAGAAGAGTGTGTTTGCAAGGCATAATATTCTCTATTCAGGACACACCTATTTTATCAAGAAAAATCAGAGTGTGAAAGTCTTTTGCAAATAACTCACTGTCTTTCTTCGCAGGTGCCCTTTTTATCTCCTTTGGAAGGTCATATTTATTTACAAATAAAATGTCAAGTGAATTCAAGTGTTGAAGAAAAAGGTTTTCTAGTAAGTAATCAGCATGTGTTTCTTTTTTCTGCTTTGTGGAAGTAGACTCGCTTTCCGTCGGCAGGAAAGCCTGTCTGAGGAGGTGGTGGATCGGCTCGGTAGAGCTGTGTGGCTTTCCCAGTGTGTGCCGGTCCCTGTGCTGGCTGGGAATATGACAGGCCACAGAACAGCCCTCTGCTCAACAGCCTTCCGTCTGGTAGGGGGAGGGACTTGTGAACAGGTGAGGACGACCCAGTGCTATGACAGGAGGAAGTGAAGAGTGCGTGTGTGTTCACGAACGGGTGGGATGTCGGCTCTTGAGTGTGGGTAGGAGGCTTAAACAAGGCTCCTGGGAGAAGTACCTCATACACCGCTGAGTAGGTGAGGTGGAGGGAAGGTGCTGCAGATGAAGGGAGGGGAATGCGCTGTGGCCCTCTCGCCCCCCAGAGGAAAGGGTGTCCTGTGGGGACAGGCAGGTGTCTCAGAGAGGCTGAGCACAGTGTGTGTGTGTGTGGGGGGGCAGTGAGCATGGTGATGGGGAGGGCCATGTGCTTAGGGGGACTGGGTCCTGCTGTTCGAGGGCCTTTTAAAGAATTTGGACTTTATCCTGAAGCCAGTGGGGGACTCTAGTTTTAAGCAAAGACATCAAACTGGGGTTTTGACTGACCTCAAATCCTTCTGACTGACGTGGAAAGCAGGCTGGAAGGGTGACCCTGAAGATGTCCAGTAAGGAGACTGAGTTCTCCCTGAGAGCAGTGATGGGGACAGCAGTCCAGATGGAGGATCCAGTCGTGGGGGGAGGAGGAGGAGGAAGGGCAGCCCCTGTGCTGTGACTGTGGGGGGTGGAGCAGCAGAAGCAGGGCTGGGATCTGGACGACAGAACCATCTGTCTTTTGCCTTAATGTTCCTTTACTGCTCTGGCTTGGTTGTACCTCTGCTACCTGGCATCCTTCTGCCACTGCTGAAAGCAACATTGGGGGGCAGGTTTCAAAGTATATTATAGACATTAGCATGCTCCCCTAAGTCTCAGGTGTATATCCCCCGAGTTTTGATGCATCCATGTATCTGTACCCCAAGTTTTGATTAAGATTTAAAACCTTACCCCAGAAAGTACTCTCATGCCCCTCACCAGGCCATCCCTATCCAACGTGTCAGGTTTTCATGAATTAAGTTTTAAACAATTTGAATTTTAGGTGCTTAGAAACATGTTTCAAGGATTGGGGTGTAGAGTTCAAGATTGATGTTTTAGCTGAGACGAGATTTGGAAATGTGCAGTTCAGAGACCGAGATTTCAGCTCAGGGGCATTGGGTGGGACAGAGCCAGGAGGAGCCCCACAGCTGTGCACAGACCCGGGAGAGAAGCTGCTGAAGGGCACTGCAGGGGGCGCAGTGGGCCCTCGTCAGCTGCCGAGGCGAGAGAGAGACAGAGAGACAGGGAGAGATACAGACAGACCACGGGGCTTGTTTGCAGGCGGTCGCTCTAGTCTCAGTTGGAGCAGAAGCTAGGTTGCCTGTGGTCATCGGGCGAGTGGGGGGTGAGGAAAGAGGCTGCGAGCAACTCGAGAACAAAGTCTGGCACGAAGGGGCAAGTAGGGTGTGGTGCTTGACAGGGTCTGGAGGGCAGAAGAAGGATTTCCTTGACATTTTATTAGGGTTGGACAGACTCGAGGGCTGGGCCTTTGGGATTGAGGTCCTGAGGGTGAGTAGAAGCCAGACCCAAGCCGCAGTTCATGGTCACAGGATGGGTTTTACCTAGAATCATACTGTTTCCGTCACCAGAAGAGAACCGGATGCATGAAGGATACGTAGATGATTGTGGGTGTGTGTGAGAAGTGGAGAACATCCAGGAGCTTTGGTTTTCTCTGGAAGCAGAGAATTTGAATGAGACAAATCACATGCAGTTGCTGTGAAAGGCATGGAGGGAATTGGAAGGGGGCATGGAAAGCCAAGGGGGCTGTAAACTGGCTTCCTCATTAGCTCCTTTCACATGTAAATCCAGCAGGTGGCACTAGATAGTCTTGGAAAAGCGTTTTTTATGCATTCCTGAGTGGAAGGCGGTGTTTACTCGGTGACCTTTTCTCTTGATGTAAATATTTCCATGTTTTGTTGGAGACACCTTGGGCAGCTGATAGGCTCTGGCAGCTCGTTTATTTGCATATAATGTCTGAGCCATCTGATTTTTGAGCTGGGCTCTTAACTAGTTTGTTCTGTCTTTTCGTGCTTTTCCTCTCTTATAGAGCCCTTACCCTGACCCAGATAACTTCGGTCCCCTGTCTAATCAATGCATTTTCATGACCTGTGCCCTCTCTGAAGAATAGAGGTGGTAACTGAAGTTCAAGTTGTTCAGTTTCCCTTCCTGCCAGCTGTCGGGAGGGAGATGACCGACTGAAGGACCTTTCTAAGTGGTTCTAAAATAGTGCTGGTCTAGCTGCGGCTGGACTGAGAGGAGCAAGGGAAGGGCATTCCGGATCACCCAGAAGGTTCCAGTTCTGCCTTGTGATTGTGTGTTTCATTTAATTTCCTTAGCCTGCAGTCTCCTCGGCTGTAAGAATTAATCAGCTGACCTCTTGTCATTCCTCTCTGATCATAGCAGAGAGCAATAGCCACTTGTGTCATTTTCTCCATCAAATTTTTCCTTGTCTGTTACCTTTGTGATATAAAAGGTGAATGTACACACAGGAGGGAGCTGGTGAGTTATTCATACTAACTTGGTCTCCAAGGTTGAAGTAAGATTCCTGTCTTATTTCCTTGGGTGGCTGTGAGCAGATGTTGCCTGGAAAAAGCATGCCTTTGGGAGGAAAGAGGGTAAACGGGGGCAGAGAGAAAAAGGTGGGGTAAGAGGCTAGATGGTTGGAGTAAGCTAATTAATTAAGCTCATGGATTTGATGTTTCATTCTATTAATGGAAGCATTTCTTCACACGAAGTAATTTTCCTCTATGGCCAGAGACGCACTCCCAACTGAGCCAGCTTTTGGTAAATTTACGCAAGTTAGTGGATCGAGGAGAGTGTCCATGCCCCTCGCAGGGTTTGGTGTGAGGCTTTGTCAAGCCATTTGAGGTGGAAGATTCTTGATGCATTTTGGAACCAAACACAAAGACACTTTTGGATTGTCTATGTTAGGGGTCAGCAAGGCAGCCCCACCATGTGTGTTTATAAAGCTTCATTGGCACACGTGCTCCTTGGTGTCTGTGGCTGCTTTGCACCACAGCAGTGGCTGTGTGGGTGGCTGCCGCGAGGCCTGGGTGGCTGCAGAGCCCACACCTGTGCTGTGCACGTGCTGCCCAGGACGGCCTGCCAGCCCCGGCCGAGAGCACTGCTATGCTTTTGCCTTGCTTTGTTTTTTTAACATATGTAATGGTTTCCAAAGGATGCCTTTTTAAAATTAAAATTAAGGACTTACTTAAATTAGGGCTCCATTATGACTACAACTAAAAAATAGTGGGGCTGGGGGGGAAGCAGTGTCCACTTCTCCCGTTGAAGTAGAAGCCCTTGCACAGAAAACCCCCACACGTTACGAGCTACCTGTTCCAGAGCCCTGCTCTTAACCAGCAGGACCGCTTCACTCCTGTGGGAACGGAGCTGGCGTTCTGAAGGCGCGGGCTGGCCAGCACCCGGCAGTCGGCAGGTGCCACGTCCAAGCGGCCTGGTGGCTCTGAGTTCAGACATTCATCCCTGTAACCCGTGAGGGCGTGTAGTCATGAGCTGACTCTTCCAGTCCTGTTTTGTTCGCCTCCATAAAAATGAAATGGTGGTCTTCTGTGTGACGTCTAAGTAATAAGCTGTCATTAGTTTTTTTTTTAATATATAAGGCATGATATTCTCATCATTTTCTTCTCTAACACTTGAAGTACTTTTCTTTAAGGAGCATTTGGTTTGGGGTACTATGCTTTTTAAAAGTCTAACATTAGGTAGATGTGCGTGTTTGGGGTTAATGTGTGAAAGTTCTTAAATGCTGTTTGCCTGTAGATGATGCCGAAAATCCGGGTGCATGTCTGGGTGTGAGCAGTCAGTAACTTGCATTCCCAAGGTAAAAGGCACGATGAAAAATAGTGCACATTGATTGCGAAATCGAAGTATTTCAACGTGTTGACGTTTAACCAATGGAATTAACATTCACTTGATCCTCAAGTTTCTAAAGTCAGTATTTCATTGATTCTTTTAGACCATATTTGAAGATGTTAGTGGTTTTGGTGCCTGGCATCGAAGATGGTGCATTCTCTCTGGAAACTGTATCTCTTACTGGACTTACCCAGATGACGAGAAGCGAAAGGTAACGTGGAGAGCTGGCCAGTGGTTAAGCCCTGGCTGCTTGCACGTCCTGTGCGTGCAGGCGTCCCCACCACCCACCCAGGCTCCCCCGAGCTCATCTGCTACGCCATTAAGAAGGGTCTTGTGGCAAGATGTGTGTGTGTGTGTGTGTGTGTGTGTGTGTGTATAAATATTTTATCCATTCCCTATGACTCAACCACTGTTAAAATACCTTAAGGCATATATTGTATTTCTTTCCCACTAGAATGTTTCATAATATTTTAGTTGGCATTTCCAGTCAGAAATATATTAAAAATACTTTTGTATTATTGTAGCCATGTAAAGTTTCATTTAAAAATGTATCATGAGATGTTTAGGGTGTTCAAAAAGACATACAAAACAAATAATGTCCACCGGCCTCTGCGTTATCAATGGGAGTTCCGTTGAGGGTCCCGTGTAGTTTTCTCTCCCCTGTAGCACTAACCCCTACCCTGAACTTCTGCTCCCACTTGTTTATTTAATTTTTTATTACTTATGTCCCTATTCCTAAGCAATACGTGGCTGCAGGTGCATCATTTTAAGCATTACACAACTGGCGTCCACTTGTGTTTCTTGGCCCCCCTCGGTCTGTGAGGCTGGTCTGGGTTGCCGGTGCAGCTCTGGTTTGCGGACCTCCCGCCCTTCCCCTGCACTACAGCGTCCCTTCCGTCGCACGAGCACACCACAGCCAGTTCCTCCATTCCCCTCTCTCTGGACTCTTCCGTGGTGTCCAAGGCGCTGCCATGACCGGGCTGGGCGTGTAGATAGGCAAGAGCTCTTTGTTGAGTTTGCACCTCGTGGCCACTTCGCTGGCTCGTGGCTCAGCACGACCAGATTTTGTCCCGTGGCTCCTGAAGTGGCTGTGCAGCCAGCCTCTGTTCCCGTCAGCTCGTTCTCGGGGTTCCGGGTCCCCACCAGCACTCCATGTGTGAGCCTCTTCACTTTGTCAGTGTCCTGGGTGCGAACTCTTCCAACGCACTGCTTTATTTTCTGTTTCCATGATTAAGCATTGAGAGTGAGCATCTTTTCTTGTGTGGTGTGGCTATTTATATTTTCTGTAGATTGATTTATCTATATCTTTTATCCATTTATGGTACATTGCAATTTTTAATTTGTCTCTTGCTTGGCATGTATTTTATTATTTTTTTAATTTTTAAAAGCTTTATTATTTTTAGAGAGGGGGGAAAGGAGGGAGAAAAAGAGGGAGAAACATCAATGTGTGGTTGCCTCTTCTGCACCCCCTACTGGGGACCTGGCTCCAACACAGGCATGTGCCATGACTGGGAATTGAACCAGCGACCCTTTATTTCACATCCCGGCACTGAATCCACTGAGCCACCAGCCAGGGCTGGATTGTTTTATATTTTCAACAGCAACGTATGAGAGTTTGTTACTCACCCCTCAACCAGTCAACAGAGGTCATTACTGCTCTTTCCAGAGTTAGCAAGCCTCATGTTTTAGAGTGGCATATTGCGCTTTAATTTCTTTTTAAGTCACCAGTCCAGTGCCCACTTTTGTTGGTTGTTTATAACCTGGCTATGCTCACAAGTCCCCACTTTGAGGACCACTGGGCCTCCTGAGTGTCCACCTTCGACCCTCAGAGGAGTGCCACGGCTCCCAGCAGGCAGCCAGAGCCGGGGGGGGGGGGCTTGCTTGCCGGGGGCCTGTGGGAAACGCTGGCGGATGAGATGGCGGGTCTAGGCTTCGGCTCACAGAAGGGGAGGGAGCGAGCGGGTTGGGCACGAAAGGCCGTGGGTGTTTCTAGTGTTAGAGCTGGGGCGCGACTTCAGGACACTGTTCATTTGTACGTTTCTGTTTTTTTTAAAGTTTCCTTCTGTTTGAAGTTTTCCCCAGCTGAGTTTATTTTTTGAGTTGACTTAAGAGCTCCAGTTGACATTTTGGTTTTTACTCTTATGTCCATTTATGGTTTTTATCACTAAGAAGCATTACAGAGGGTGGGGCAAGAGTAGGTTGACAGTTGTTTGTATGGGAAATAATGCAGTAATGAATAAATAGTAACACAAGGATGAACTGTGTTATAGACTCCCAGCCGTAAACCTACTTCTGCCCCATCCTGTATATTACTTATATTTCTCTAACTTAGTCTGATTAAATTTTAAATTAATGGCTTTTTAAGCTTACATAAACTTAAATACTGCTTAATGCTTACTGACTTAAATGGTCTTATTTTCTACTCATGATCTCTTTAAATGTTTGTTTGTGAAGAATCCCATAGGAAGGATAAATCTGGCCAATTGTACCAGTCGTCAGGTAGAACCAGCCAGCAGAGAGTTCTGTGCGAGACGCAACACCTTCGAGTTCATCACTGTCCGACCGCAGAGAGAGGACGACCGAGAGACACTCGTCAGCCAGTGCAGGGACACACTCTGCGTCACCAAGTACGTCCCGGGCTGCGAATGGTTCTGTGAACAAAGCAAATGACTGCCCACCAGGTTCTTTCCCGTGCGGGAAACACCAGAGGCGGTCCTTGTCCTTAAAGAGGGTACAGTCTGAACAAGGAAATGAGACACACGGACTGTCAGGAGGACAACAACTGAATGACCGAATTAGCAGAGTCAGGAAAAGCGTAACACTTAAGTTACAGCTTAGCTAGTCATGTTTTCAGTATACTCCTGGTGTAGCCCCGTTTGCAGGGTCGTAGCTAATATGCTTTGGGTTGAGTTAGAAATTTCATGTATAATTTTGAGAAGTCAATTATTATTTAAAGAGATTTACACATCCCCTTCCTTTTCATTCCAAAACACCCTTGATTATCAGGGGGCTCACAGAAGTGGTCATCCCGCCCTGACATTTCTCTTTGGAGATTAACAGAACGAACTCTCGGGGGTGTCCCTTTTTGTTAACCCGAAGCTTAAGTTGAAGATACAAAGCTTATATTGTTAAGAGTCTTAAGATTCTTTTGCTCAGATGCCCAGGAGAAGCTTGAAGACCACCTTCAGTGTACAGAGCTGTGAGTCGGACACAGGTTTGACCTCGACACAGTCTCTATTGATGAGGCTGTTGGTGGGCTTTGCAGACAGGGAGGTAGTAGAACTGACGCCGTGAGTTTCGGATGTGGAAATACCAGGAAGCTATAGCCAAGAGACAGTATATGTATTAAAACGGAGCAGAGTTGCCTGAATACTCCCAGTTTGCTTTAAAATAGCTAGCTAGGGGACCCATTCTCTGGGAACCGTGGATGTCTAGATTACTTCAGATGAGGTCAGGTGAAGTCCTTCCCTCCTGTGGTCCGGGGGCCTCGGTGTGCAGTGGCATCGGGCAGAATGGTAGGGGCGCAGTGGGTTTAGTCATTTTGTTTGTCCACGTTCACGGACAGTGGAGGAACCAGCCAAATTTCAGTACAAGTGGTTCCTGGCCACCGAGCCCATTTTAATTTAACCCTTTTAAGTAGTACTTTTTTTAAATGTAGTCTTCACTTTTATGTGCAAACGAGCCCTCCCAGACTTGTCTTGACTGTCTCCTGTGGTAGAAATAGTGGGATCCTGGTGCCCCGACCCCTCTGCCTGCCGTTTTTCTCATTATGACATTATCGTGATTGGGGTGGACACTTCTTTATCCAAGCTTTTGACACTTGCATTCTCAGTTCAGTCCCTGCTGAGTCTTCAGCTCTGCGTGGTGGCTTCTCAAAACTGTTGTGATCATCTGTTTTGTGAAATGTAAACATTTTACTGTCCTGCATTCGCTTTGCCTCACTTGCCTGTTTCCATGCAGGGCCTTTTATCTAAATTTAATGGGTCTCATTTCTGTTTCTACTGACCGACCCCACTGCCTTTCCCTCCTGTACAAAAGGTTCAGTACAAAAGGTTCCTCTTCTGACTAATCTTGCTGGCTTCCCGCTGCAGCCCGCACGTGCGAAGCAGAGATGCTTCCCCGGGGGAGGCCCACACTGCTCAGGGGAGCTTTGAAGTTGACAGAACTCAGTTTAAATCCCGACTCAGTGGCTGACTGAGTGTAGCTGCAGCGAGTTAGCTTTGCTGGCCCTCTGAGTTTCCCTGTGAAAACTGCCTTCCACGGAGGGGCAGTGGAGATTAAGGATCAGGCCCACGTAGCACATTGTCAAGGAGCACGTGGAGTGAACTCTGTGAACGGTCACTGTTATGATTGTCAGCGTTGCACCCTTCTTCACTGACCGCTAGGTGACCCCTCGGTGACCCCTCACTGCTTATCCGTGCTCGTGTCGTTTCTGTCACCAGTGGGGAGCGAAGGAGGCCAATATAAAAACCTTCCAACTGTCTGTCCCCTAGAAGAACACTCTGCTTGTGTGTTAGAGAGTTAACCCGCCCTGACCCTCGCCTGTGAGCCTGTGGTCCCAGCTCCAGGGAGCCCGGGTTGGAGGGATTTGGGGAGCATCGGATTGAGGCCGGTGGTGTGCCAGCTCTTGTGAGAAAGTGGCCCACACCCGGGGTGGCCCACACCACCTGACTGCCCAGGCCAGACCACCCATCCATGCGAGACAGTGAGTGTGTTCAGTGTGAAAACGCCCTTATTTACCAAATGTCATCAGTGTGCAGAGTGATTCAGCTAAGCAGCCTACAGAGTAACTTTTTACATTATAATTGAAGAAGCATCTCCCCGTGGGGCTTTCAAGCACCCACAAAAACAGGGTAAGGAGTAACTTATTTGATGGGTTCGTTCAGCCTTCCCTCTGGCGGGAGTGTGCAGGGAGTGCGGAACGGGTGGGAAGGGTCTTGAGCTCTTGTGTGTTTGCTCCTGTAGGCACTGGCTGTCCGCAGACACCAAGGAGGAGCGGGATCTCTGGATGCAGAAGCTCAATCAGGCGCTCGTCGATATCCGCCTCTGGCAGCCCGATGCCTGCTACAAACCCATTGGGAAGCCCTAGGCCGGGCAGTTTCTGTGCCGCCCAGAGGGTATTTCTGGGCTATGTCATATGTGTGTCTGAAGAGCATCAGACAGGCTGATTGCATTTTTTGCTTTAAAAAATGAAAGGGGATGTGCCAATATTCACTACATATTATGCAGTATTTATGTCTTTTGTATGTAAAACTTCAGCTGATTTGTCTTCTGTCATTCGTAAATAATTGGAGGAAAATTCATTATAGTTGATTTTACTAAATCTTAATTTAAAAGTCTCATTTTCCTAGAAATCTAATTATTCAGTTATTCATAGTAATTTTTTTTAAGTAAGAAATTTTAAGTTGTCTTTTTGGTCCTGTAGAGTGTCTTCAGGGGTTAGAGGTCATTCATTCTGGAGCCCGAGCACTTCCTCGTTCGGGCAGGGTCCTTCATTGGGTCTCTTGTTATCAGAGACTGAGAAAATGCCTGAGGGGCCTTATGGACAGGTTCGCAGCAGTGGGGGTGAGGACAGTTTCAAATGACAGACGCACCTTAGCTTAAAGCTTACAGCTTCAAACAGGAGATGGGACTTAGGGGTAATGCGTAGGATGTGTGGGGTTAAGTGTTTTATTTAGAAGACTTAATAATCCTATGGTTTACATTTTCTCAATTACTTTAGATGCGTGTGGTGCAGATTTTCATAGAATATAGGCTTTTAAAAGTAATGATTTTTGCTGTATATCTTACAGACTCCTCAAAGATACTTGGCATGTTAGTTTTTCTCTGTTCTGGTAATAAGAACAGGTGTAAATTCAAGAGCTTTTATATAAAACAAGTACACTTTATAAGCTGCTGTGGACTAACACTTTGCTTGCCAAAGTTCTCGATTTTCTTACTTTTCATGTCCATATAGGACAGTGTCCAGAAATCCGTTACGAAATCATTTGAAAAACTATTAAGTAATGTATTACCTTAAAAGCCTAATACTTTATTCTTTATATTTTTGTTATAAAACATTGTAAAGCATGGTCTCAAACTTTTAAGTACACTTTGGGTTTCTTTGAATTGTCAAAGTTGTTGATGCCCTCATTTATAAACACTAAATTCTGTCACCTGTCATTTTATCTTTTACTGTTTTAAATGTGTTTTATGTGTATTGTAAAAATTTATTTTATGATCTCTTACCTAAATAAATACTTGCAAATGGCTTACAGAATCAGTTATTTAAGCAATCTTATTGGCAGTCTATTTGAAAAAAATAATGAAGTAAAACTTCCCTAATTTGGTGATGGAAATAGACATGCAAGTTCAGGAAGCACAGAGTCCTGAAGAAGATGGACCCAAAGAGGGCCACTCCAAGAAACATAATTAAAATGCCAAAGGTTAAAGAGAGAGAATCTTAAAAGCAAGAAAAAGGCAGTCAGTTACCTACAAAGGAGTTCCCATTAGACTGTCAGTTGGTTTCTTAAAAGAAACTTTGAGGGCTGGAAGGGACTGGCAAGAAATACTCAGTTATGAAAAGCAGGGACCTACAGCCAAGATTTCTCTACCCAGCAAAGGTATTTAGAATCGAAGGGCAGATAAAGAGCTTCCCAGACAAGGTCAAGTTAAAGGAGTTCATCATGACCAAACCTTCATTATATGAAATGTTAAAGGGACTTACTTAAAAAAAAGATTATCAAAACTATGAACAATAAAATGGCAAACATACTTATCAATAATTGAATAATAAAAAAACTAAGCAAACAAAAAGCAGATAGAATCATGGATACAGAGAACATTTTGAGGGTTGTCAGATTGGGGGTGTTTGGGGGCACGGGTGAAGAGGTGAGGGGATTAAGTACAGACAGGCAGTCACAGAATAGCCATGGGGATGTAAAGCACAGTATAGAAAATGGAGTAGCCAAAGAACTTACATGCGTGATGCATAGACATGAACAGTGGTGTGGGGACTGCCTGGGGGAGGGGGGGTGCTGGATGAAGGGGGGCAGAGGGAGGAAAATTGCAACAACCGTAATAGCGTAATCCATGAAACAATTTTGAAAATGTATGGTGTACTGCTCCACATCCCCAGGCTGCGGGGCTTCTCAGGGGCATTGTACTGACAGCATCCTTCATCATTTTGTCTGTGTCCCAGGGCCGGGCTTCCCGTGTGTCCTTCGGGCTGCCGTGAGTGAGAAGGGGCCATTTCCATTGGTTCTCGATGTGCATTTGGAGGGCGGAGGGAGATTCCCCAAGTGCTTAATATGTGATGCTACAAAATCCAAAAGGCACAAGGAAGTGAATGAAAAGTATCTCTTCTCCCATTGCCACAACCACTTTTACCAGTTTCTGTGTTCTAGAGATAGTCTATGCATATTACACATACATTATATTTTTTATGTTTATTGATTTGAGAGAGATTGATTGGTTGCCTTCCATGTGCCCCCCTACTGGAGATCGAACCTGCAACCTAAGTATGTGCCCTGATCCAGTTGAAGCCACAACCTCTTGGTGTTCAGGGTGATGCTCCAATCACCTAAGCCACCTGGCCAGGGCAGACGTGTTATATTCTTTTGTTCATGAAAAGCATTCCACACACCTATTTGTTGTAAGCTAAAGGAAAAAACCATTCTATCTTAGTATACATTAACTGCAGGTGTCAGACTCGTTTTCACTGGGGGGCCACGTCAGCCTCGTGGCTGCCTTCAAAGGGCCGAATGTAATGTTAGGACTGTATACGTGTAACTGCTCCTTAACAGTTACACGAGAGCTTGGTGCTGCCGCCAGGTAGAAACAAGGTGCCGGGCTGGATAAAACAAGGTGGAGGGCTGGATTTGGCCATGGGCCTTGTGTTTGCCACCTGTGATACAAAGGGTATATAAAATTTAGTTTTAGAAGAAATTTAAGGTGATTGTGGAACAGCAAGATAGAAATACCTTGTAAACTGAAAAATGCTGCTGGAAAGAATTCACTGTCCTCTGCCTGGGGGACTGCTGGAAGCGTCGGAGTGTACAGGACCATCGGGGAGCGTGGTTTGGATGGAGAAAGGGGGACAAAAGGAACACGTTCTTTAGGGGAAACGTGGAGAAGGAGTGGCCAGTGACTGCCATCCACCAAAGAAAAACGGGCCATCTCTGGTGAGAGCGAAGAGGAATCTTAAGATTCTGACCACAGACTTGGAAAATGTGAAGTGAAACCTGGAGCAGCCAGTTCAATGACGTGGTTCAAACAGAAAGTCAGGCTACAGTGAAATCTATAAAGGGAAAAACGGCAGGTTCGTCTGCATAAGAACAGCCTGCCTGAGAGAAAGAAGGAGCTCCTACCCTTTGCAACAGCATGGATGGAACTGGAAAGCATTATGCTGAGTGAAATAGGCCAGGTGTCGAAAGACAAATACCATATGATTTCACCTTTAACAGGAAGCTAAACAACAAAACAAGCAAGCAGAATAAAAACAAAGACACTGAAATAGAGAACAAGTGGGCAGTGACCAGAGGGGAGAGGGAAGGGAATTTAAGGGGGAAAAAGGGGAGGGATTTTGAGGAACAAGTATGAAAGACACAGGGATGAGGACTGGGGGGAGGGGGAGGAAATTGGAGGGAGGCGGGGAGCACGGGGTGGGGGGGCTGGGATGGGAGAAATAGACAAAAAACTGTACTTGAAAAATAACTAAAAAAAAACCAGCCTGCCTGACAAATGTCTGTAAACAAAACATAACCAACAGATCAGGACAAAATATTTACAACGTACTTACTCATCAAAGAATTAACATGCAAAATGTATAAAGAGCCCCCGTGGCCGTCTGCCACTGTTTGAGCACTTACTACGCACCAGGTGATATTCTTGGTGTTTCACATGGATCATCTCCTATCCTCTTCACAGGGCCTTCTGAAATGGGTCTTGAATGAGAAACTAAAATTTAGGTAATTTTTCTGAGGCCACGTGCTTGGCAAAGGGCCCACCAGGATGCTAACCCAGAATCTACATGCGTTGTCATTCCTCTACGATATTTCTCAAATTAATAAATAGAATTTTAACCTAAAAGAAATGGGCAAATAATATTAGCAAGAAAACACACACATGTCCCAAGAGCCAACTAACGTAAAACGAATGCTAATGGACAAAAGAACACACATGCAAATCAGCCCTCACTCAGATCGGTGGAACTGGAGCCTGCGTGCTGAGGAAAAAACTTGTGTTCTTGATGAAAATAGAAACCCAACCGATTCAGCCGTTCTGGATGGCGTTTTGGCCACCTCCCCTAACGCCCTAATCGGAGCTCTTGTCTGTGTAAAGGTGGAGCCATCATTTCCAGGCACTGGTTAGGGGGTGCAGGGTGGACTCTGCAACAGCCTGGATGCCTGTGGTCCCCCGAGTCTATGTTGGACATGCACTCTGGCCCCAGGTAATAGGTGAGGTCTCAGGTGAGTTTGGGGGAACCTCTCCAAGCAGGGAGTCTGGGTGAGGAAACTTTGCTCTTTCACACCCTATGTCTTTACATCGCTGGTGTGACTTCGGGAGACCAGGCGCACAAGTCCATAAATTCTAAGTTTATTTACCGCGGCCAGCTGCTGACCAGCTACAATCTGCTAGGGGCATTCCCTGGATAGAGACCTCTTAGCAAATACTAGTCTTTGTACCAGGAGGCCTGGTGTTCGGCACATTTGCAAGGAATCTAGATCGAGAACCTGCTTCTTTTCTTCCCCGGAACCAAAGCCTGGCTGCTTCGGTGCCTTCCCCTCACTCTCCTTGGATGATCAGGCAGGTGAGCCAAGGTACTCGGGAAAGGATCGTCTCCACTGTTTAAAGGGAAAAATGGGAACAGCTGGGAAGTTCCTCCATAGGGAAGTTAACTAGAAATAATCGGCAGGTCAATTAATGGAAAATTATGGCACGCTCTGCAAAACACCAGGCCATGTTCAAGGAGAAAGAGGAGAAATGAACTTCCAGGGCACCTTCGAAGGAAGGGGCATGCCACTTAACGTGAGTGGTTATAACATATGTGTGCACATGCAATAGCTCTCCCTTATCTGAGGTTCCGCTTTCCACAGTATCAGTCACCCCCAGTCAACCACAGTCTGTAAATGTGAAATGGAAAATTCCAGAAATAACATGAGTTTTCAAGTGCATGCGTTTTGTGTAGCATGAGCAACCCTTTGCTCATCTGCTCCTCCTGCCCTGGAAGTGAATCATCCCTTTATCTGCTCTCAGCCTGTTTGCTAGTCAGGTGTCCGTTTTGGTGAGCAGGTAACTGTCAGTGTGGGTGTCGCTGTGATTGTGTCCAAGTAATGGCCCAAAGCACTGGAGTAGCGATGTTGCCATTCAGACCTGTGAAAGGGATGCAGGAAAGTGCTTCCTTAAGTGAAAAGGTGCAAGTTCTCGACTTCATGAGAAAAGGGGGAAAAAAGTCATATGCTAACATGGCTTTTTTTCTGAGATTGCTAAGATCTACTAGGTAAGAATAAATCTACCCGTGAAATTGGGAAGAAGGAAAATGAAACTCGTGCAAATAAAGTTTAAAAAAGAGGTTGATTAAGGAGAAATGGTATCTCATCCAAATCAAGACTTCAGTTATGAGGAAACTGGGCTTATCGGTAAGAAGCTGCCCCAGAGAACCTGTCTTCATGAAAGGGCAAAAAAGGTACCATGACGTGAAGGAAGGAGGCAGAGATGAGCTCGGGGCTTTGTGGCAATGCCACAGAGCATCCGATGGAGCCGGGTGGTGCTGTGTGCTGAGCGAAGAGCCCATGAGCCCTCAAGAACAAACACGCAAGTCACCTGATGTGTTCTGGCAGCACCCTCGTGTTTGTGGAATGGTCCTCCCGGTGCCTCTCAGGAGGGAGGGTGGGTGAAGCGCAGTGAGACATTTAAGGAGCAGAGAAGCCACCTTCATGCAGCTTATTACGGTATATTGTTGTTAGTGTGCCATGTTATTACGAGTTACTGTTGCTAGTCTCTCACTGTGCCCAATTTATAAATTATACTTCATCACAGGAATGCATGTTCGGGAAAACGAAACATAGTATATACAGGGTCTGATGCTCTCTGTGCTTTCAGGCATCCACTGGGGGTCTTGGAATGTGTCCTTGTGGATAAGGGGGACCACTGTACCCAGATAAAAGTCTAAGTGGAACCACAGCAACTTTTATTGAGAAAGGGCAGCAGGTAGAGGTTGGG